ATCGCCACGGTGGCCAACCACGACGTCAGCAAGGTTCTTGTTGATGGCGGCAGCGGAGCAAACATTCTGTTCCGAAAGGCCTACAATCAAATTAAGCTGAAGCCCAAGCACCTTACGCCGGTACCCTACCCGGTATCCGGGTTCAACGGGGCTTCAACTTATCCAGATGGGAAGGTGACGCTTCCTGTCACCATCGGCTGCGATGAGGCAGCTAGGAATGTCATGACTGAATTTTTGGTCATTGACGCTCCTTCAGTGTACAACGTGATTTTGGGGAGACCCATAATTCACGAGATCCAAGGGGTCGTCTCAACCTATCATCAGCTGATGATTTACGTCTTAGACGCCGGCTTCCCCGAAAGGATCCAGGGCAGCCAAAAGGACGCCCGAAGGTGCAACTACCTCAAGCCATCCACTAGTCGCCCAGATAACGACGATGAGGATGAGGAGGAGAAAGAAAAAGAAAGAGAGCCAAGCACAAAAAAGCCGAAAGGTTTAAGTGCTTCGGCCCAAGGTTCTGTGCCTAGAGAAAAAGGGCCAGAAAAAGAAAGGGCTGGCTCTTCATCTGAGCCGAAAGACTCAGAGAGCCAGCCGAAGAAGAAAAAGTCTGGGACGCCTGCTGACATAGACATCAGACCAGATTGTGAAGAGTCCAGTCCATCAGCAATGGACATGGACCAGCAGACTGAAACGGTCGAGTTGGCCGAAGGAGACGCTGAGAAATGTGTAACAATCGGGATGGACTTTGATCCGAACACCCGTTGTGAACTTATTCAACTCCTTCGGGACAACAGAGATGTGTTTGCTTTCTCGGCAGCTGATATGCCCGGGATAAGTCCAAACCTCATCTCCCATAAGCTTAACGTTGACCCAACGTGTCGGCCAATTAAGCAAAAGAAGCGGAATTACTCCGCAAATAAGAACCAAGACATCGCAGCCGAGGTCAAAAAGTTGTTGGAGGCAGGCTTCATCGAGCCTTGTCAATATCCAGAATGGCTGGCAAATGTGGTGATGGTTCAGAAGGCCAATGGTACCTGGAGAATGTGCGTTGACTTCACGGACCTAAATAAGGCTTGTCCAAAGGATTTCTATCCCTTGCCGAGGATCGATTAGTTAGTTGACTCGACAAGTGGCCATGCCTTGCTTAGTTTCATGGACGCATTCTCGGGGTATCATCAGATCTTCATGCATCCTGACGATCGAGCAAAGATGGCATTCGTTACGAACGCCGGGGTGTACAATTATAAAATGATGCCCTTCGGATTGAAAAATGCGGGGGCAACCTATCAAAGGCTGGTGGATCAAGTTTTCGCCGATCAAAAGGGCCGAAACATGGAAGTCTATGTTGACGATTCAATCGTCAAAAGCAAAAAATCTGAGGACCATGTTAAGGACTTGGCTGAAACCTTCGCCACCTTAAGAAAGCACCAAATGAAGCTGAATCCGAAGAAGGGTGTCTTCGGCGTGAAGTCAGGGAAATTCCTTGGGTTCATGGTCAGCAAGAGGGGGATTGATGCCAATCCCTCCAAATTCAAAGCAGCGCTCGATCTTCCTGAGCCGAAAACAAAGCGGGATGTTCAGCAGCTCACCGGAAGAATGGAAACCCTCTCGAGGTTCATTTCCAGAGCTTCAGATAAGGGGTTACCTTTCTTCAAAGCTCTGAAACTTCCGAAAACAAAAGAGCTCGTTTGGGAAGAAGAGCAAAAAGAAGCCTTCAAGCAGCTTCGGGAGCATCTGGCTCAACTCCCAACGCTGGCTAGCCCAGCAGAGGGAGAAACTTTGTATCTGTACGTGGCTGTTAGCCCAGCCACCATCAGTGCAGTGCTGCCGAAGGAAGAAAACAAAATTCAGCAACCAATCTACTTCGTCAGTCATACTCTGACGGATGCCGAGACTCGCTACCCTCTACTCGAGAAAGTCGCCTTTGCAGTAGTGGTAGCTGCTCGGAAGCTGAGACCCTATTTTGATTGCCATCAGATAGTGGTCTTAACTGATCAGCCGCTGGAAAAAGTTCTCGGCAAAGTTGAAAAATCTGGTAGGCTGGCCAAGTGGGCTTTCGAGCTTACCGAATTCAGCATCAGCTACCAGCCGAGGGCAGCCATCAAGGCTCAAGCTCTAGCGGAATTCTTGGCCGAATGCTCGTACCAAGAGACGCTAGACGATAAAAATAAAATCTGGACCGTGTTTACGGATGGATCCTCCACCGTAAATGGTTCGGGGGCAGAGGTAGTGATAACCTCTCCCGAAGGAAAATCCTTTGAGTATGCACTAAAATTTTCTTTAAAGGTTTCGAACAACGAAGCTGAATACGAGGCAGCAATCGCTGGCCAAGAATTGTGCATCTCCCTGGAAGCCGAGCATGTCTGCCTGAAAACAGACTCTCAACTAGTTGCATATCAGATCAGTGGCAGCTACGAGGCCAAAGAGCCCTCCATGATAGCCTATCTTGCCAGGATCAAATCAGTTATTGCAAAGCTGAGAACTTTTGAGGTTCAGCTGATCCCAAGGGGTCAAAATACTCAAGCCGATGCACTCTCCAAACTTGCCAGTTCAACTCTCACTGAGCTGAACAGATCTGTATATGTGGAAGTGCGTCGAGAAAGAAGTGTCGATGAAGCACTTGAAGTGTGTTGCGCTGACCCAGAGCCCAGCTGGATGGATCCCATCCTAGCTTTCAAGCTTCGGGGAGAAATTCCCGAAGATAGAATTTTGGCCTCCAAGCTGAAGAGAACCAGCTCAAGGTTCATTGTCTTCAGAGGGGAGCTTCTGAAAAAAGTCCTTCTCAGCCCCATTGCTGAAATGCGTGGGACCAACATATGCAGATTACATTCTTTGGGAGATTCACCTCGGCATCTGTGGGAACCACATCGGGGAAGGACCTTAGCCCACAAGGCATTGAGGGCCGGATATTACTGGCCCACCATGATCTCAGATGCTAAGGAGCTGGTCCGGAAATGTGAAAAATGTCAAAAATTCGCACCAGTTATCCATCAGCCAGCTAGAGACCTTCATCCGATCCTTAATCCACTCCCATTTGCCCAATGGGGACTGGATATACTGGGCCCATTTCCAGATGCGCCTTACCAAAAAAGATGGTTAATAGTCGGCATCGTCTATTTCAGCAAATGGATTGAGGCTGAAGCAGCTTCGAATATCACAAAGCAAACTGTCAGGAAATTTATCTGGCATAACATTATTACTCGCTTCGGTATTCCGAAGGTCCTTGTCTTTGATCATGGGAGACAATTTGATAATCTGCCGCTAAGGCAATACACAGATCAATTCAGCATCAAATTGGCATATTCAGCAGTGTGTCATCCACAAAATAATGGCCAAGCCGAAGCTGCAAATAACAAATCCTCAATGCTTTGAAGAAAAGGGTTGAAGATCAAAAGTCCAAGTGGATAGAGGAACTTCCAGGAACCATCTGGTCGCTTCGGACTACTGAAAAAGAGGCAACGGGCTATTCACCTTTTGAGTTGGTGTATGGTGCCGAAGCCGTACTTCCCGTGGAAATCGGCTCTGAGAGTTTACGAGTGCACCACTTCTCGGATGAGAATGAGGACCTAATGAGAGAATCCCTCGATTTTCTTGATGAAGTGAGAGACTCAGTCCGAGTCAGAATAACTGCTTATAAGCAGAGAATCAGCAAATTTTACAACCGAAGGGTCCATGCAAGGCCTCTCAAAATTGGAGACCTTGTCCTCCGGAATGCTGCTGCAGCTTAGAAAGGCCGAATCCATGGGAAACTCTCAGCTGCATGGGAATCTGTGATGAGCTTCAGCCAGGGACATACCGAGTTGAAAAATCACTGGAATGCTGATGTACTTAAGAAATATCATGTGTAAACCTTTCGGGGCAGAACAATCTTTGTAAGTACATTTTGAATCATTAATGAAAGGCCTTGGAGCCACCATTTATATAAGTATTTGCAACTTCTTGTTCTTTCAAGTTTTCTTTATTCTATCTACTCTTTAAGGGTTTTTATTCAGCCTCGTCTGAAACCTTCGCCTCCGGGTAACTAGGTTTCAGATTGCTGACAAACTCGTCTTTTTAAAGAACTCTGGTCTTTCAGCTGAAGTCAAACTTCAGTAAGACTTGTTCTCTAAAGACAAGATTCCATGGACAAGTCTGGGATATTGCCTTAACTGAGCCTTGTATCCCAGAAAGCCATTATCCGAAGCATTGCCTTCAGTTGGCCCTGTGTTTCGGATATCCATTTTTAAAAGATAGACAGAAAATCAAGGACAACAGCAATTGTTGAAAATTTTTATTCAGCCTCGTCTGAAACTTTCGCCTCCGGGTAACTGGGTTTCAGATTGTTGACAAACTCGTCTTTTTAAAGAACTCTGGTCTTTCAGCTGAAGTCAAACTTCAGTAAGACTTGTTCTCTAAAGACAAGAGTCCATGGGCAAGTCTGGGATATTGCCTTAACTGAGTCTTGTATCCCAGAAAGCCATTATCCGAAGCATTGCCTTCAGTTGGCCCTGTGTTTCGGATATCCATTTTTAAAAGATAGAGAAATTTTTTATTCAGCTTCGTCTGAAAGTTAGAGAAACAAAACCCAACTCAGCAATCCAAAGACTTGAGCCTTCGGATTTCTAGGGGGGCAAGAGGTACTATCAGCGCAAGTTTATCTTCTGCAGAATTCTTCAAGATGAAAGCTTTGTACTTAGCAAATTTTTGCGAAAATTTCTCAAGCTCAGAAACAGTAAAGCATTCAAAATAAGACAAAGCAATCGAAGAAAAAGCATCAGATTAATGAAAGTAATGCTCAGAAAGCGAGCTACAAAGTTCAAATAAATTAAAAGACTATATCGACTGCCGCCCACAAGCGGAAAATAACAGCTGCCGAAATACGTACTTAAACAAAAATAAACTGTTTGTACATCAAGGCAAGCTGAAGCAAAAAGATGAGGCAAAAAGAGATTCAGAAAGCGGCGAGTCTGAAGTTAAGCACATGTTGATCCGCAAGACTCTGAAGACGACTGCCCGATTTCCTATGCTTCAGCCGAAGGATCAGGCTGGTCAGCTGGGTCTAGCCCTGGGGCAGTCTCGGCTCCAGTAGCAGAGGAGGCAGGTTGGGCCCTTGCCTGAGCTTCAGCGGCTCGCTGTTCAACCTCCAACTCCTGCCGCTCAGCTTCCTCCTCGGCTTGTTCAGCCTGAAGGATCTCATGCTCAGCAGGAGTGGCATACAGCATGTGCGGATCCTCGGGGTCCTGAGCCCAAAGCGCACACTTAGACCAATCCAGCAAAGGCTCAGTATGGAGAGCCAACCTCCGAGCCACCTTAAACCCATTTATGTAGCCCATCTCGTACTCTTCTTGGGTGTAAAGTCGGACTTGGAGCAAGGCTTCAGCGTCAGCCAATCTCTTTTGACTTTCCTCCAAATCCTTTTTAGATTTTTCTAACTCTTCTGAGAGTTTGGAGGAAGAAGTCTTCTGCTCATTAAGCTCCAGCTGGACGTTGGAAGCCTCGGCCTTGGCCTGGGTCAGCTCATCTCCCTTCACCTTCAGCTGATCCTCCAACTCCTTCAGCTTCTGGTCCTGGCTCTTAGCAGCAGCTTGGGCAGCAGAAAGGTGAACATCCCTAGCTTGTAGAGCCTCTTCAGCAGCCATCCTGCTGGCTTCAAGAGCTTCCAGCTTCTGCTGCACTTCAGCTTGTGCAGCAGCTCCTTCTTGAATTCGGCTCTCGATGGCAGCTTTAAATTTGGAGATGTCCACTCCCATTTGCTCCTGAAGGAATTTCTCCCCTTCCATCAGCGGGGGAAAAACTTCCTTCTCCATAGCTGAGTAGAAGGTTTGAATGGCTTCAGCAGCCCTCTTTTCATACTCTTCGCTCTGCTGCTGCTTCTCTTCAGCAACCTGCTATTTCAGCTCAGCAAGCTTCGCCTCCTCCCGGGCAATCTTTGCATCCTCCTAAGCATGCTCCATCTTGTCTTGGAGGGTGTCAATCAACTCTACAGTAAGAGTCTGATTGTGCACAACCTGTTTGCAGGGGCACATCAGTTAAAATAAATAAAATAATAAAAAAGGAAAGATCCAGAAAGGAGGAGAAGAGCTGAATGAAAGCAAAGCAAAGCAACTAAAAGGTTAAGTACCTTCATCAGCAAACGTTGGTTGTCTCTTGCAGGGTCAGGGACCCTTCGGCTGGATTCTTCCATCCCAGCCGTGGCCTTCAGCGACCACACCCTTTCTCGGTCCACTTCGGACATGCTAGATAGGTCGCCGAAGTAACCTGCAGCCCCTTCACGGTTCTGGCCCCAAATTTGTTCCCAAACAGGTTCTGGGACTGTGATGCGGGGGGCCGAGAAACCCAAATCTCCAGAGTTCAGCGTCTGGAATGAGGGGAAGGAAGAAGAGGGAACCTCCTGAATCTTCTCAGGCTCAGCATGACCTTCTCCTCCGGCGGAGCCCAGTTGGTCTCCACCAAGGTCAGCGACGACGACCTCCTCTGCTTCCTCCCCCTGATCAGGTTGACGAAGACAAACGTCAACCTCCCTATCAATATCATCTGAGAAGCCTTCAGCAATCGGCTTCTCAGAATCTTCAGCGGGGCATCCCTGAACCCCCCCCCTTCGGATCAGGAGTTCTTTGGTCCACCTCCATCTCTTGAGTTTCGGGAGGCGGAGGGGGGGTTTGAGGACGCGGAGCTTCCGGCGGAGGGGGAGCCCTCGGCGAGCGTCTACCTTCATCAGGCTCCCGTATGAGGATGCCCCCGGTAGGCCTCATCCTCGTCTGAAACTGACGAGGCCCCAGCACGGCTAACCTCCTCCTCCTCTTTGCTAAGGGCTGCTCGTCCATTTCTTCAGATTCTGACGAAGATGGATCCTCAGAACGAGCAGACGCCTTTCCTTCTCTTCTTTCGCTCCCTTCCTCAGACTGCAGAAAGGGGGGGCAGCAAAGTGTGAGTAAAAAAAAAAAAAAAAAAAAAAAAAGAGAAACGAGCAAGTCATGAACTTACTGGAACCCTCGGCTGAGCTCCAGATGCAGGGATATCCCTCTCAGCAGTACCAGATGTCCCAACACCTCCTTCCAAGGAGTCGATTGCTCGGGACACGTCAGCTGCAGTCTGAGCAGCCTGTGCTTCCTCAGGTAATAAAGGCCGAAGGGGATCTCGCTTCTCCCACCAAGGCTTCTGCTTGGTTTATTCGGCGGCAGCTTCGATCTGAAGGCCCGTTTCGTGCAGATGCAGCGGACGGTCCTTCGGAGCTGTGATCGCTGGAGCCCGGTCTAAAATGACTCGTTCATCGTTCACCCCAAGCCGGTTATAGTCAACCCCCAAAGTAGCTTCGCTCAGCTCTGAAAAGAACAGACGAAGGTTAGACTACGGGAATAAGCATCAAAGATAAGCAGAAAATTAAACAAGTCAAAGTCCTCGGCCCCAGCCGAACATACTTACCATCCCTGTACTTTCGGCTGAGGCCGACAACTGCCAACATCTTCTCTTGGAAGACGTAATGGTTATCTGGAAGCCATCTGGCCGGGATAAATCTCATTCGGCCAACTCCCCCAGGGTTATTCTGATTCCCGAAGAAGCTCATTTGCTCGTAGCTGGGATGACGAGCGGCATCAGGGTCCTCAGGGCCCAAATCCTGCATGTTCGGATCAGGCCTGGAGAGGTATCGGGGAGCCCCGAAAAAATAGGGATGCTCGGGATCAGCGGGAACTCTCACCCAGACTCATTGACCTCTCCAATCTTTGTCCGAGGAGTCGTTCGGCCACATAGTCAGATAATGGGGGCGACTCTCTATTCGCCACCAGCCTGAAGACCCATGTTGGCCGTATGTGCTCTGAAGGTTTTGCACTAGCTGATGCATCTTTCGGAAGCAGTGCAAATTCGGCTCAACAGCAAAAAACCGACACACCCAGAGATAAGTCATCACCCGCCGAATGCTAACGGGTGTTAATTGGCACAGGGAGATCCTGTACTTTATTAAAATGTCCCTGACGAAGGGATCCACAGGAAACCGAAGCCCGTATTGCAATTGCCGAGTGTACACCCCTATATACCCAGGAGGGGGACGGTGAATCCTGTCAGTTGGCGAGGGCATTCGGCACCAGTGCCCATCCTCCTCAAAAATGCCGTAGGGCAACTCAATTTGCTCGGCGAACCGGTAGGTTTCGGCGTGCCGAACCCACCACGAGTATGGGGTATTTCTCACCATGGCGTCCTGGGCCTCGGCGTCCTGCCATTCAGCATTCCCAGGAAGCAGGTCCCAGAGCATAGGGGGCAAATCTTCGGCCTGCCCAGCCCGTTCTCTCTGCTCAGGTTGCTCCGCCTCGCCGGCCTCGGCGTCCTGCTGAGGCGGCGCGGCGTTTAAAGGAACTGCCGGAATCCCCCTTTCTGGGTCTTCACCAGCTCGTTCCCCATTCCAAACGTCGGCGCGGTCACGGGGATCCCTAACCTGACCCCGTCGACCTGGTTGACGCCTCCTTTCTCGAGCCATAACCAAATTCAAAGAAGGAAAGAAGGGAGAAGAAGAATTTCCTTAAAAAAGGCAAGAAAATCGAAAAAACTCGAAGAAAATTACCTTCAAATTGGCCGGAATGCGCCGGTTAAATTAGTGGAAGCGACGGATTTGAGTATCGAACTCGGATTCGAGAATGGTGCGCTAGAAATTCGAAGCGAAGGTGGGTTTATGTGAGAATTCGAGTGTAAGTTGGTGAAGGAATGAGGCGCAAATGCGAATCAGACCTTATAATTCCAGGAATGAGAATTCCAAAGGTCGGAAAGTTCAAATTTCTCTTAAATGCCTCCTTAATTAACCGTTAAACACTCTCTCTCTTGATTAATCGCCCAATATCCACTCCACTTCCTATTAATTATCCAAATTACAGTTATTTAATTAATAACTGCTTAAAAATTTAAATCTTTTGGTTTAATTAAATCATTTACTTCCCTCCATTTCTTATTGGATTCAAACCTGACCCGTCATCCTTCCAAATCGGGTCTGGGGGCAAGTTGTTTGGGTCCAATTTATCTAATTGGGCCTAGTCATTTATTTGGGTCCAATTATCTCATTGGGCCTGGTCATTAAATGATCCAATATTCCAAGGTCAAGGCCCGAGCCTCCAATCAAGCCAAGTCAGCCAAGAGTCCTTTGGTCCGAATTGCCATGGTCAGCCCATGACTATTTAAGGGCCCAATTACTCTCCTCTCCTCATATGCAAAGGTATATAAGCCTTCAATTCATTCATTTATGATAGACACAAAAGCCTCAAGCACTAAATCTCTTGCATAGCTTTCTCTCTTTAAACACTGTTTGACTTCGGCATCGGAGGGGTCTTCTTCGGATCCACCCCCGAGGCCAGTTTACGTGTTTTAGTTGTGCAGGAAACCTTCGGCCCAGCATCAATTGAACCGAACCAGTTTTCAGCCACTTCAGTGGGCCTTCGGCAAGGCCCCATTGTTTTCATCCGAAACACCTGGTATTCTAATTATATATTCAAAATGATATTGTTTTTATCACCCTATCTGTTTAAATAACAGTAGTAGTAACTTAACATCATGAAAACGAGAGGCCTTGATTTGGTGGAAGTGGACATTGACTAATTTGGTTTGAAGTTGATACCACAACTTTGTCCTCATGTAACAATACAAGCAGAGTTGTTATGCCTCTTATCTTTTCATTCCATTCACTGCCAAGTAGTACCTGTCAATAGCAAATATCTTAGCCTGCATTATGTGTTTTTAATGAACCTGAGATTATTAATGATATTAAGATGTTGCAAAAGAATGCGAAAAGGAAATTACTAAGAAAGCAGCTTTCCGAGGGATAAAAACCTCCTAATACTCCCGGCCTAAGAGCACATTGAAGGGATAACATAAGTATTAAGTACAAAATAGTTTTTGTGTTTATTTAAGTGATCAGTTCCCTAATATAGATCTAACTATACAAGTGCATTTTAATAATTTCCTGCAATACCAAATTATTACTTTTAAGCTGTCTGTTGGACTGCATATCTTAAGCTTTAGCAGCATGGCCTGTATACCCGTTGTTTTTATACAGCTTCTCTGAAAAACAATGTACTCTACTGGTGTACTAGCAATATGATAACAAGCTTCTATACTGAATCGATCTATGTTGGATTGACCTATGTACGAATGAATGTCATCTGATTTGTCACATAAAAGTTCTTTCTTCTGATCAGCAGTGCAACAATTTTCATTTTTCTGCTCGTAAATTATCATTTTTTGCTTCTTCTATGAGCATGAGACAACTTCTGCAGGGACTTATAGTAGAACGAGCATCGGAGACTGGGCTATAGTTCCTGGATTGAACTAAACATGGTATCAATAAACCTGATCAGGGGTTCTGCAATACCTGCAGAGGTAGGATTATAGACATAAGAGGTATTTGGGTGCCGAAATTTAGTTGTTACACTAGTTTGAGTGTCTGTAACAGAGTAGTGCAGTAGCATGAGGCTAGCCTCTGGCTTGGACAAATTAACCCGGCCTTAGTTAGGCTAATATTATTCATCATGAGTTCATACCAAAACAATCATCTGTAATCAAATAGCAACATTTAGCTACAAGAATATGAGAAGAAGAAATACACATCTCCGGAGTGAGAGCACTAGAACAAGGGGTGCCTCTGCTTTACCTGATAGATAAGAATGAACACAACCTGCAACACAAGACTTTACACACTTGAGTCGTGAATCAGGCACAGGACCGCATAATTTCCAACTTACCCCTTGACTTTTCCTCTTAGTGTAGTGTTTAGAGTCATTGTTCTTGTTTAAACTCGTCTTTTTTTACTTTATTTTGTTACAAAAAAGTCATCTTAACCATTAAGCACTATTTTGTTGGGGGGTTTCATCAACTTCAAGATTCGTTTGGCATTGTTGTGGTTTTCTGTTTTTTGGTTTTTTAAAATTATATGATATATGTTCCATAATGAATAAAAAAATATTTAAATTTATTAAAATCATGATAATTTTGAAAATTAATAGCAGAAAAGTGAAAACACCTTATCTTGTTTTCTGTTTTTGGTTTTTAAAAAAAACGGGAAACTGAAAACAAAAAATGATGCCAAATTATCTCCTTTGACCGTACAACAAATATATACTATATTTAACTCTTAAATTTGAGGATGATGCTCCTTTCTTTTGCTGCCCTTGACCGACTTGGTCTCCCTAGACAAAATGTTTTGATCAACAATAATAAGGTGGTCTAAATTGCATTTAAGGTGATTTGAAATCGGGTCAGGAACAATTTGGGTTGAATTTATGTCGGGTCAATAACAAGTTGTGTAGATTTCGAGTCGGGTTAGTAACAGATCGGATTGAATTTTTGGGTCGGGTTAGTAATAGGTCTGGTAAAATTCGGGTCGGGTCAATAATATGTCGGGTTAAATTTGGGTTTGGTCAATAATAACAAGTTGGGTTGATTTCGGGTCGAGTTTGTAACAAGTTGGGTTAAATTCGCGTCGGGTCGGGTTAGGAATGGATCGGGTTGAATTCAGGTTAGATTAGTAACAAGTCAGGTTAAATTTGGGTTTTGACGGGTTAAAACGGGTTTGGGTCAATTTCGTTTCAAATCAGGTTCGGTTGAGGTCAATAATTTACGGGTTACATTCTGGTCGGGTCATCTCCAAGTCAGTTGATGTTCAGTTTCAGGTCTCACATACTCGGGTCAACTCGGATCTAGGTTTGGTTTCAGGTCGAATTTGGGTCACCATTTTTACGGATTCGGATGGGTCGTTTAATAATCGGGTTTGAGTCGGTATTTCAGGTCGGGTCAACTTTTGACAGCTCTATTCTGTTCTTTTGAGTTTATGGCAAAGAAGAGCAGGACAGAGCAAGGCAGAGCAGAGCAGGGTTTCCAAACACTACAGTGCAAAGCAAACAAGAACAGGGCAGAGCAAATTTCAACGGAACAAAATAGAGTACAGCAAGCAGAGCAACTCAAACGATTAGGGTGCATAACTAGTATTATACTTCGTAGTTTGTTAAGTGATTTAGTTTCCTGATTGAGATATGAGTTCTATTAATTATAATTTCCTGAAAAGTTTTCATGATATATTACTAGGCCCCAACTTTAGGAAAGCAAATGCAATTCCAAATTATTACTTTACGCTCTGTTGGGCTGTTGGCCCATTGGCATAACTCAAGCTTTAGCAGCATATATGGCCTGCATACCTGTTGTGCATCTACAACTTCTCTGAAAATCCTAAAAGTTTCTGATTCATATTCATTTGATAAAGGAAAGTTCTTAAGTGTATTTATTTAGCTCGAAATTGCCTTTTATCCCAATCATAGAAGCTTAAGTGTATTGAAATGAAATAATCTTTGCACTTATTATCCCCATATATTCTCGGATTGTGAGAGGGTTGCGCCACTGATATAGAGGGCAACTGCTATATAGTAACTTCAATTAGTTAGTAGTATAGTTTTATAAACATGATAGACATAAATAATGAACTTGTAACTTATTTCATTTAAGAATTAAAAGTAAAGGTATTCATATAATTATTGTGGCTAAGCTACCTTTAGTTCAAAGGATATCATTATGCTAACAGATTAATGAAGCGAAGATAGACATCACTATTTTAGACTGAGTATACAAGCAAGAACAAAAGTACAGTCATTCATAAAAGACAAGAGCATGACCTTTTAGTATTCTTGTCAAACATAAGACAATAAGATCATCACTAGTATTTGTTCTTTCATTAAGTAGAGAATCATGTATGCTCTGAAAGTCTGAATCTATGTTGAATTGACTTATGTACGAGTGAATGTCGTCTGATTGGTCATGTAAAAAATTCTTTCTGAAACAATAGAAAACAGCGATAAATTATGTAGGAAAGGCTTAAAAGATGCTGAGACCCTTAAACAGAAATTTACAGTTTTGATTATTTAGCATTATGTACATGAGAATCTTTCAAAAACTACAGGATTACAACTAGGACAATTTTTTAATAGATAGGCCTTATTATGAAGAGCAGAATATTTTGAGCCAGATATGCTCGAAAGCCTTAACAATAACAGGATGATACTCTTTACAGTTCAGTGAAAGATAACAGGCTAAAAGGTCTTCTAAATCTTTAAACTCTCTTATGTTGTTTTCTTGGATCATCTCCATCATAGACTCCTTGAAATCTCTTTGAGGGTCTAACGACGACTTAACAATAGCAAAGCTATCTGATAGACTTGACCTTCGCGATTTTACCTCTTTGACATACTTATTGTTTTTATCAGTGACAGGCTTCTCTTTTCCTGCAGATTTCCTGATGACAGTGCTTAATCCTCTGATGTCAATCATGTCAAAGTTTGGTTCATCTTGAGGTTTTGTCAATATAGGGCGCAGCTCAAGCTCTGATGCTGCATCGAACTCGTTCAACTTCTGAAACTTTCTACTGAAGGATGATTCTTCATGAGCTTGATGATTCAAGTCGATGATGATATCTGCAGTAGAGGAACTAATCCTGCAGCAGCAGCTGCATGATGATCGCAACGATGATGAGCTCCAAGAACCTACTTCATCAAACATCAATAACTCGGGCCCAAAATCAACACTAGCGCTTTTCCTGCCATGATCATTAGGCACAGAAATAACGACTTCAGGAGAGCCAAGCTCACTAGACGAAAGAGAATAATATAAAGGCTGATCAGCAGTACAACCATTTTCATTCTTCTGCTTGTAAATTGTTGTTCTTCTGCTTCTTCTACGAGCATTATTAGACGACTTTCTGCAGGGACTTGTAGTAGAACGAGCATCCGAGACTCGACTATAGTTCCTGGGTGAACTATACATGGGATCAGTAAACCTGTTCAGGGGTTCTGCAGTACCTGCAGGGATAGTATAACATGCATAAGAGCTATTTTGGTGCCGAAATTTAGTGATGCTTGTGCTTGTTACACTAGTTTGAGTGTCTGTAACAGAGGATTGCTTGATACTTTTCGAAGCATGAGTATTCGACTTTGTTGATCTTCCCTTCCCCATGTCCTTAAGCTTGTAGAACCAAGCATTCGGCATCATATCAGATAATCTAAATCTATACTTACCCATCTTACAAAAATAACTCCTAAATTCTTCTCTAATTCTTTCTTTTGTGATTATTTCTTAGTGTTTCTCCTCTGTATTATTATGAATTCTTACTTCATCTTTACAATGTTTCCTAATATATATTGCCTATATATGATGAAACTATATGCTATAAAAGTGTTACATTACCCCTTAGAAGAAAAAAAAATGTTACATAAAAAAAGGGTCCACTAAATAAAGCTTGGTAAAGAAAGCATGCATTAAATTAAAAGTATGTCTAGTAAAAGAAAAAGTCATCTTATAACAGAAGAAAAGGAAATGGAGATTTTATTATATGATGAAAGCCAGCAGCACGAAGGATATAAAAAGTATGGAGAATCATTAGTTTTTTTTTTGCCCACTATAATCCTATGCTCCCACTACAGACTGTAAATTAAGGGACAAATCGCCTAAACTTAGGATGACTTGCTTGAATGATACTGTTTATTCTAGACTATTCTTGTAAATTAGTGGTTAGTCTTGTATTATAAAGGACAATTGTATTGATTAATGTTGTTAATATGATTGTGTTCTATAGAGTGGTACCCTTTGTGTTGGGGAATTCGTGCTTGGATGTGTATAAGTGGATGATTAATGATGATGTTAATCTTGATTATGATTCTCGAATCAATTCCTAACTTTGGTATATGGTTAGTATCTCATTGTTTAAGTAGCTATCATGTACTTATCATTCAACAATCAACATCATATGTATCAACTATTCTATCTGTACGTGTTTTTACAACTTTACAATGGCGTATAAAACGATTTAATTTGAAGAGTATATTGTTAAATTCTTAACATATTTCAACTATCCTACACCTTATGATTTTCAAGTGTAGCTACTTCTTATCTTGAACATAAAATAGAGTATTCTTAGTCTAAATCCAACAGCAATTAAAAAATTAGTAATTGTATATTTTGAATGCAAAATTGGCTACAACATTCCTGATTTCCTGAGTGTAATATTGAATGATGTATCATCTCATATCTCATTGATGACATTTTTTATTATTAAATCTGTCCATTTTCCCCTTAAAAGAGGAAATTAATTATAGATATCTAGCTCTCACGGACATATATGCACTTAGCATATCTTTCAACACCATGATGAGAATAAATAAACTTTCACTTAAGCATATATAGTTCATATTCCTTATCCTCTTCGATATACTATAATGTGCAAATAGTTTATTTTATACTTTAATAATTTTATTGATTCAAGTGGATCATAAAATGATTTATTTAAAAAAAAAAAAAAAAAGTGTTGCAAAATAATTATAAAATGATGTTATTTTCATTGTAAGAGCAGGAGAATATAGGTTTAATTATCCATAGAAAATTACTTGAATCACCTAAATATACCAAAAAAAAAAAAAAAAAAAAAAAAAAGGCTAGCCGTACCATAACAAACATAAAACATTACGTACAAAATGAGACAAGTCTAGTAAATAATAAAGATGCATGAATTGTCGACAAAAAACCAGACCAATTATACTATAACTTAAGTTGAAATTTGGGAAAAATACCATGAACTTAATTATAAAATTCTACTTCTTTCCCCCACACTCCAATCAGAGCATAAAAGAATTTGATGACAAATTCTCATCAAATTCTTTTGAAGATTTTGAGTTCAAACAATATTGATTTGTCGAAAATGCAATTTGCAAAGGCATCCAAAGCATATTCTTGTGGGCCTTAGGAAATGAAGGAATTTAATCTTCACAGAAACAATCTTGGACTGAAAATTTGTGAAAGCATAGCCTTTTAATTTCTTTTTATTTTTTGGTTGTTGATATAGGAGTATCTTTATTTATTGGGCGACTCTTTGATGTTGATGTTTGACGCACGAGTTTCCAATGCAACAAAACATGAAGAACCAAAAAAAGAGGGAAACTATACATAAAAGATTAGTTACGAAACAAGGCATGGCAAAATTTGCAAATGGACTTTGAGAGAGATACATATAAAATAAAACTATATAATTACCGATTATGAGTTTCTATATAAAGTACATACAAGTATATGTTAATATCATTTTCTTTCATTAATTTTGTAACGTAAATGTTCAACTTGACAATGACATGGTGTCACATTACACACGAATAAACAATTGATTATTTATTATGACGGTTATTTATTGAAAAAAAAAGTTTATAAATTAGCGATTCAAAATATTTGTAATTACATCGGCTCATCTATAATACTACATTTTAACAACTTTTAAATTGTGAAATTGTAATGCTTACATCAACTTAATTAGTATCAAACTTCAAGCTATAATGGAATGAAAGAAAGAATAGTACACTAAGTTCTTAACTTTTGGAGTAAGAAAAATGAAAAACTAGCAACAATCTTCACACTCCAACCTCTTTTGAAACTCTCATTTCCCTTTCATAATCATTATAGTTTTACCAGTATTAGCATTTGTGCAAGACAAGGCCAATGTCAATGCATCTTAAAGACATGATTAAAAGGGGTGAACTTAGGCATGCGTTTGATGATTTCGGCCACCAAGTAGGTCTCCTAAGGGTCTTTGGGGACCTTAGGAAGCACCTTGATGCCTAACTTTGTCGAGTCCGAAAATATTCTCCCAATGCTAAATTTTAAGGCTATAATACATGAACTTAAATTCATTTTATATATTTCAAGTCCAAGTGTTGAAAACTCATGTAACGGCCTGTAATGGTAAGGTGTGCATTTGAACTCATATAATAGTGTTTGGAACCAAATAAGGTCTCTAGTCAATTATGTATAGTCGTGTAGATAATTGGTTAAATTAAGAGTTAAGAGGTGAATAGTTTCGACCACTCAAATGGCCTTCCGATGTCTATGGGAAGCACCAAATAATTTTTTTTTAAGATCCTAAAATTATTGGAAATTTTTCAAATAATTGATGGTTTATGATCGTCAATTGACCAATTTTGGAAAATTTCTCCATTATAATAGTGGATATGGTGGGTGATTTCCAGAGTCCTAAAATTTGATTTAGAACCATAGCAATCCTATCTGTAAAGTCCCAAAAATGTGTTTGATATAGTAGTTATATGGTTTGTTTAGAAAATCTTTTGTAGTGGTAAATTAGATGTAAGAAATGAAATAGGCATTGTGGTACCAACTGATTATTGGTGCAGTGGTGATTGGGACTGTATTTGGTAGAGAGGACCCCTGTTCAATCCTCCGCAACAAAAAATGGAAGGGGATTGGAACCTAAGCACCCATAACTAATCCTCGAATTTGGATTAGCTCAAAGGGTGAATTGGGTGTGGAAAAAAAAAAAGGCATTGTGGTGTGGTCTATGATATACTTTGTACTTGTATTAATCTCGAATGCATGTGGAATTGTGGACTATGATAACTTTTTTTTTTTTTTGAAGCAAAAATATTTCATTAATTAAAAGTCATACGACATCTACAATAGAGGTTCGACGTTAACAAATACATAAGATATTGAATCAAATAGAATTTTCCTTCATAAAAACTACGATCATCGAGTAGATCTTGCACTGCGGAGCATCTCCCGCTTATATCGCTGAAAATTACAGCCTTGTTGGAGAGACAATCTAACGATCCGTTGTAGCCGTGAGGATATTTTCCTTTTGATTCATTTGTTCGTATTCGAAAACTTGATAATTTTTTCACCAACGAAATAATTTCACGACAATCCATTAGATCTACTACCATAGATTCAAAACTAAGAAATTTCTCCCTCAAAAAGAGGAGATAAACCTTGTCTTTTGAAGGAGGTCGAAAAACCCTTGTCTTTCGAAAGAGATCGGAAACTCTTTCTTTCGAGGGAGAAAAGTTCCTCCCAAAAGAAGGAAACATTATTATAAACCTAAAAAAACAATAAAGAAACAAGGATTGGGGCTTTCCACCAATTAAAATCGATAGAAGTCCCCTTTAAAATTCAACAATGGAGGCTAGGATTTTGGAAAGAGAAAGGAGGAGAGAGATAATAACTTAAAGTAGAACAAGCAAAGAATCAGCTGGAACTTCTGGGCCTTTTTTACTCCTCTTGGGTTACCGTTGCTGCAGTTGGGCTTCTAAAAATAAAACTTTTAAGCATGTTGTATACTTGGGCCATCGAATTTTGCTGACTTTGCTTATATTTAGCCGAGCATAATATTTTTTTGCCGAATTTAGCAAGTGTTCTCCTTGGACCCTATTTGATAGCACTCATAGCAGTTAGTGTTTGGATCAAGTTAAAACACTAGTAAATCTATCAAAATAAATAATGTAAAAATAATTAATGTTCGGCAAAATCTTTAATTAAAACAAGTTACTCTTTTTTCTCTTTTTCTTTTTTTTTTTTTAAGAATCTTCTAAATTTCTCTTAATCTATAAGAACAAATATAGTTATTTGAGATAAAGTTTGATTCGTCTTGGTGAGTAGATTATCAATATCTAACTTTTATAATTTTTGCTACTGTGAGTTTAAAGATATTTGCGGTCAAAGATGAATAAAACTTGCATCGATTTACGAAACAGAAACATCATTCTCAAACGAAAGGGAGTGATAAAAACAAGCTGAGCTAGACGAATTATTGTAAAATTTTAGTGATTTGTGGAAAACAAGCACCCTTTTTGAGTTTTGACATTATTATGGTTGTCTTTTGTCCTATTAGGGACTATGATGTTTCCAATATTATTATGCTAGGATAATAATGTTTTCTAAATTCTTGTTAAAAAAAATGTTTCCAAATTATTATGCAAAAGTATGATTACCTATAGAGAGTAAAATAACACCATAATTAAGGTCAAGTCCATTGACGATTTCTCTTTTTAAAGATTTAGTCCATAGACCGATTATTATCTCGCATTCAATGAAAAAATAAGGGTCTGTTCTAATAGACTGAAATCAGCTGAACTGAATTGAATTGAGCTGAACTGAATTGAACTGAACAGAACTGAATATTTTATAAGAGAAAGAAATAAGGAGCTGAACTGAGCTGAACTGAACTGAACTGAATTGAACTGAACTGAAAATAAACTTATTGAGCTTAGGGCATAGGTTTGTTGAAATTATCTATTTCAATATTTGATAAAAGGGTAGAGAACATTAAGAGGAATAAACCAAGATTAGCTAAAATTAAAACGGTTGACATTTCTACCATCGCACAGAAAACAAAAGGAAATTGACAATAAAATTGTCAGTTGCACTAGTAAATTAGAAAGAAAGGGAGAGTAAAATTATGCAGGATTTGACAGTTTTTGTAGGGTAGTGAAGTCAAGAACAGAGAAGTAAGGCTGATTTGCACATGCATTTGTAATGTAAGCCCGTGTTAGTAAGAACAACCAAACCCATGGTCCATTTATTTAGTGTAATGTGTGGGCCATTCTTTATAATGTGGGCCTAACTATCAATTTTCATCTATACTTTCTTTTATTGGGGTATCATTTTAGGATCAGCCTAGACCATGACCGGACAACCCTTATATTTTAGGCTTTAGTGGGAGCAAGCCTCACCTTCGACCACCAATAACGGGTGTATTATATACATTCATGAAAATGAAATAATGTAACTACTTTTATAACCATATAAATTCGAAAGATTGACATTGATTTCACAACTTGTTAATGCATTGTGTTGCGTTGTCGTAAATCAATGTAAGGATAGGCTAGCACCCCTTCTTTTTTCATCCTCCAAATTTGGTTTTTGGTTTTTCTTTGCATTCTTTTCTTTCTTTTGCGTACAACGTTTTGTATTTAGTATATATACCATAAATTTTTTTAGTTGGTGGAAATGTACGGTTGCTAATACTTGAAATTCAATAAAAATTGGTACAAATTAAATTCAATCAACAAAAATGTACAAATGCTAATATTCCAATTATATATCAAACTAGTCGTAATCCTTTGATTAGATCACATTTAAGAATAATGCAAGTCATCTCTTTTGAAGAGTTCTTACTAGATCACTACAAAAACCCTCTCTCTATATCAAGATTATCTACACAGTGAAAGTACGAAAAAAAATATATATTTATATTAACTAGTGTTACGATTAAATAATACAAGTATAAACTTTGTATGTCATACCTAGATTTTCTATTTCTTCAAATTCTTTTTGTATTTTTAATACATATTTCTTCAAATGCTAAGGAAAAGGTCATCAATTTTTTAATTTTTTTAAGAAAAAGGTCTCCAAATGTTCTTCACACTTATCTTAAAGAATAGTGTCTTTAACCTTTTCTACCCATCACATATTCATATCTATTATTTTGAACTTAATAACGTCCCTTTATTAATAAATTATAATTGTTTTTTGTTATTCAACTTGCATTAATAAATTGTAACGTCCATATCCACTCATGTGTGAAGAAAATTACGGGACGAGTCGTATAATTAGCTATTTGATTAACATGCATTGATGTTGAATGAATTGTGCACGGGGACAAGTATGATCTGTGTAGGGGCTCTTGGTATAAGAGGAAGGACGACGACGACGGTGACGAAGGAAAGAGGGGGTGATGATACGTCGAAATCGACGTCTCAATCGGAAAATCACACGCTTACGAGTTGAAAAAGAAGCGCCTTTGATGATGCCTAAAGCCACAAAAGGCAAACGAATGAATCCAAACTAAGATCAGGTTGTTTATTAATTGCACTTTGCCCTTAAATACAAATGTATGTGTCTGGTCTTACCATCTCAGATCTTCTTCTTGGGACCTTTTTTGCTTCCTTGCTACCCACCAACCTAACTATACGTTTACTTAAATTCTTTGGAAATTTAATTACAAATGTTCATATTATTGTTTAGAAAAATAAAACATTGAATAATATAAGGTGTACGGACAACATTTTAACAACACTATTAACTTTTCACATAATTTTTAGTACTGTTTTTAATTTTCTTTTAAAAAAGTAATTTTACGGCGCAATATTACAAAGTTATATCGGACCATTGTCATTGTTAGCATATGTAACCTTGTCTCTAACTTCCAACCAATGGACACATCGTATAGTATTTAATTATAATCTCTTCGTCCCTAAATATAGTTTCCATATAGAACTTTTAAGACATGTATTAAAGATCGTAAAAAGTCAAACGAAAACTATATTTAGAGACAGAGAGAGTACTAGATTAGTTTAAATTCATACTGGTTAATTTGATTACGGAGTAGTATATTGAGCAATCTTACATCATAGTACACATTAGATATTCAATGCTTTTTTGTCCCCCTTTAGGACCATTTGTAAATTACCTTTGTGGGTGGGGGGAAGATCCTTTGAGCAATACTCTAGATGGAAAATGATATTGTTTAGCATGCATGGGGGACTTCATGGGTGGTGATTTGAAGACATAATTTTTAAATAATTTCTTGTTTTTACTTTTTTTAGTTTTTAATTTACTTTGTCAATTACCAACTACAGTACATATCAAGCCGCTACTTTATTACACAATTCTCATTATTATGATCCCAATAGGAAGGACAAACCAAATCACATTTCAAAAGTCAAAACCACTTGAGTTATCCAACAGAAAATTACATGAATTGCATATTACGAATTTGGCTGATAAAGTTCACTTCGTACAATTTAATGTTCACACACTAATTGTCGGATGCTAATGCATATATCAGCTAATCGGTATATATGTCATATGAATTTGATGATCGTGTTACCTTCTACTGTATTTAAGAGAATGACTAACACTTATAACCCCGAGATTTTTTTTAACCAATCACCCGTGTATACCCAATATTTTGTCAGCCACGTCATGCCCTAAATGCTTGAAATTTTTTAAAGGGTAAGCATACAGCATACTAGCAGTAGGACGCATAATGGACCAAACTACTCAAATTTAAGTTGAAATTTCGAAGTCCATGAATTGAGCTTTGCCTATTGTGGACAGCAAACAAAGCGTACAAATACGTAGTATTTGTTTTCATAAGCCAACCACCATTCATATTCTATTGTACGTTAGTCTTCATCAATTTTCTTTCAGTATTATCAACGATTTCAACTCTTATATGAGTATTTTGCGAAAAAAAACACAATTTTAATGACATAAGCAAAAGTAATACGAAGAACAATAATTATTAAAAGAATAAATGACACATTACATCAAGGTTCATTATAACAAAGCTAAAGTATATAATCTTCTACAATTGAAAATATAAGATTCATAATCAATCATTAATTTATATCATTAATGTATAACTCTAGTGTGAACCAAAGTTTTAACTAAGATCATGTCACCAATAAAACTCAATTGAACCATTAAGTCTGATATCCGGTTATAAAATGAAGGCTCATATATAACTTAATCCCTTTAATACGGAACCATATACATATTCATATTTGTACCCGACACGTAAAATAATTCAAAACTCTTTCCCGTCAAATTACATACAATTATTTCCCAAATAATAAACTAATATTGTAAAACCATCAAAGTGGCGGGCTAACTAGGGAATGTAGTAAGACAACATACAGAGTGAAGAAAAAGCTGCATAATAGAGCACCAAAGTTGGTAAATCAGAGGATCCGACTACTATACACAATTAACATCCCACTCTATTTGATAAGTCTACCTCCAACACTCCCATTCCTACTCTTACAGTCCCACTCTACTCTACTTTGTAGTAGCACTATTTCAATATATTACCCCAATCAATAACTATCCTTTTTTATTCATTTCATTTGCTGCTGTTTCCCCTTTTTATCATTGCCTCCAATTCCACTATTTTTCTCTATTCCTTTGCTTTCTTCATACTACCACTCATTTATTGCCACCACCTACCTCAACTATTATTCTTCCCTGCCCTGAGCGTATACATTATATATTGACACACACATATTTTTCATCATATGTGTGTGTTATTGAGAGTACTACGTTATTAGCTAAGGATACCGCGATTTATCAAAGATTTTTTAAGCTAAGGGGAATATATACATAGTCTTTAGGACTAATTAGCGTGCAGGCTTAAGAGTATGATGAGAGATCCTGGGTGTTACCACCGTGTTTCTATTCTCTTACTATTCGCCGTCTCCATCTTCGCACTCTTGACCTCCCCCTCCACTTGTAAGTTACTACTTAGGTAACTTAATTCACCTATTTCATGTAATCCTTAGATGATTTGTTTGATTAAAAATTTTTATTTATTGTTTCACTTATTTGGCTTGCCAATTCAAATTCTTCATATCATCATCTTATGATCACCTAATTTATATTCTTTTGCTATAATAATTCTTTCTATTAATATCTATGATGATTAATGAATTGATTTACTTATATGATGTGCTTGTTAATCAGCTAGGGATATGCAGCTGTACATGCTCAACTGTAGAAATCATGACTTGCAGCAAGTTCAGGTAAACATAAATAACCTCCTAAAGCTTACACTTTTTGTGCATGTTAGAGAACTATAATTATATGTTACTCCTTAATTAATTTGAAACAATATAATTAAGTTAATTCCTAAATAATCTTTTAGTAAATTATAATTAAGTGAAAGGATATGGTGGTGATTCTGACTAGTGTCATTATCCTGACGAGATTCTCTCTGTCACCCCCATTTCAGGTTTCAATTATAATACCCAGGCCATCATCTATTATTGTACTACTCACTACTCACCCCTCACCCCACTTTTCATTTTTAAGGCTGAGATAATTAGGCTAACTGATGCATTTATTTGAGTCCTGTTACGTTACGGTTATTCTAATTTTCAAACATCACTTGTAGTCCGTGTTAGATTTTGTCCTAAATTATAGATCATATTTCTATTTAGCTCGTCCTTAAATATTATATTATATGGCAGCGTATACAGCGGAGCTTTACATGTTATGATTGTAGTCAAGAAAAAAGTAGAGGCTAAGCTAAACATGCACCCCCGTGAACTTGTCTTGGCTATATCCAGTACTTGTGTTTGGAAACTATCAATTTTCAACCAGAATTTTATCTGACAAAACTATAAAATGTTGCTTATTACTATTAGTCTCTCTTGTCTTTTGTTTAAGACTAGTCTTGTAATTTCCTCTTGCCGCGCTTCAATCGTCGGTGCACATGTGTATTGCATCCTCTGCATATATATAGTCTCTCCCATTTCTTGGCCTATATTGTTGGTTGCAATGCCGTCTCATTGATCCACGTGACATGTATGTCATGTACTCATGTTGTACACTTGTACGTGTAGGCATGTAGGATGTAGCCTATTTTTCTCGTGTTATTAAATGTTTAATATTTCTACTTTTAGGTCAAGGCGTTATTCATAGCTGAAAGACTAACAAAGTTATTATAACAATATCTAAAACAATATGAAAATTGCAGAAGATTATAAATAATGGTGCAACAAGCAGCAAAGATGAAAGCAATAATGTAGCAAGGAGGATTCTAAGAGGGATAGGGTCATCCCCGCCGCGCTGCGCATCCAAGTGTGGCAAGTGCAGACCATGCAGACCAGTTCACGTTCCGGTGCCTCCAGGGACACCCGTTACTGCTGAATATTACCCTGAAGCATGGAAGTGTAAATGTGGTAACAGGTTGTACACCCCTTAAACAAAATAAATACTCAATCTTCATACTAATATCACATCTTGGCTTCCTAATCATCCATTTATACCACAGTACACCTCCTTTTCTTGCATCATTGCATGCTTCCTTTAGGCCTGTTTCTCGCTAATTACTTAGAACATGAACAACATGTGACACCGTCGAAATCCCGTCTACTTCATTATTGGTTATACATGGTGATTGATTACCTAATAAGTTCGCCTTACTCGCCATTATTAGTTGTTGTTATTGTAAATAAAGTAGCAAATGGTCTATTGATTGTAAATACTAAATACTTGGTATAATATTTCTACCACCTTATACAAGCTTGTTTATACTTTGAAAATCAAAAGATGACCATGCATTTTAGTGTTGTAATAGCTTATATTATGCAATGTTCTGGATGCCTCAAGTTCATCTCGAAGTTAAGTGTCACTAGATTCGACCACTAAAGGTCACAAAGGCGTTTATATAGACAATAATATTGAACTGAGTGAGGCTTTCGTTAGGATTTGGTAACAATACTTCACATTATTTTTGGACCAAAGGACTAGACATTAGAATCATACTTCGTACATAGTACTACCTCCGTTACATATTATTTGCAACGATTTGACATAAAGTAGAGAGGAAAAATGTCTAATCGTTGCAAATAATATGAAACGGAGGTATTATATATTTATAATTTGATTTATATTTATATATTTAGTTGGTCTAATGCTTTGTGTTTCCACTGCTTAAGTCTTAAGAGTAGTGCATACCATTTTCCTTATTTCTTAAATAGATGACTGATGGTCTGTCAACATTATCCGGTATATCTCATGTATACTCAAATTCCAGCACATATTTATGCGCTACGCAATCAATAAATAAATACTTTCATAATTAAGTATTAAGCTAAGTTGCCGTATTTGCAAGTCAAACATATATAATATATCAATCCGAATTTGTATTTGTAGATGTCAATTAAATTAGTTGATTTAGTCTTAAAGGATAGAAACTAAAAGCAAAGATCAAGTCTCGCAAACATCCGACTCCATCTATATGAACTTGGACCTTTTAATATACCCGTGATGAACCCTATGCCAGATTTCCCTTTGTACTTTAGTAGATGGCTATATATGGAGCTCATTTGAATCACATTATAGCAAAGTCATGAGTCGTCCACCAAAATTCCAAAGTATAAACTAATGAATAGATTCAATGAATGGAAGAGGATCAAAGGAATAATGTGATTATTCTTCACAATCAAGCATCTTTAGACTTTTTCTGAGAGAATCCCTAATGCTAGTCATTCCATTATTCTTGGCTAAAGTTGTGGCCACAACCTTAATACTCCCTTTATATTATTATTGGAACTTGTCAAACTATATTCTATATTATTACTAATAATACTATGAAAGAAAATTCTAAGTGAAACAAATAAATAATTAATTAGGACTAGGGTAGAAATGAAACGACGGTGGAAGAGATTATATTAAATATAACATGTTTTTGTTTTATGTATTTTAACTAAATCTAAACATAAACTGTTTTGTGATGACATATACAATGTATATAGTATATTATGTATATATAGAAAGCTGGCTTACACAGCCGACTAATTCTAATCTATAAGTTAAGCAACCGGTCAACTAACAAATACTTGTATTAAAGTTTTACCACCATGGTTAAGGTTACCGGCGCCGACCATATTAGATCCTTACTATACATACGTCATACTAACCTAAAACCACCTGCCCTTAAAAAATACAAGTAGGCATAACAATGTGCCAATGATACTCCCACAATTTAATCGTAGCAAGTGTACGTACATGGACACTTAAATAAATACTCCGTACTTCGTATCATTATATTTTGATAATAATATTTTTGTTTTGAGGAATTAAATTTTGATTATAATTATCTGATATATGTAAAAACTCTACACGAAAGAAGGTATTTGAATTGCAAAATTAATATAGATTACTTAAATATGAAAAAAAAAAAAAAAATTCACTTTTGTTGCATTAATTTAATTCATTTAATAAATTTAGTTTTGAAAATGAGTTACTCCGTAGTATACTGAAGCAATCTAAAACAGATGTGATATTTTAAGGAAAGAGGTCAGAGAGGGGATTGTTTAGTGTACTATCTCTATTACACTAGGCCAGTAGCCTTTATGTATAGAAGAATAGAATTAGCGTAAATTCAAATCAAAGAATACTAATTGATAACTAATAAGTCTTAATTTGGTATCAACTTGATCCATTTCGAATAAAGGAAAAAATACAATCTGAATTTAATATAGAACACAACTTAAGTCTTAAACCTAATAGATTAGGTAGGATGGGACTCAATCATACATTTAAACTCGTTGGAAATCAACTAGATTTTTAGCAAAACAAGTGACAACAAAAGTTAAGCCAGGCAAGATTGATGGCTGCTTTCAGAAATCTAAATGTACATATTTATGTAGTGCATGCACACTACTCGTCAATGGCTTAAGTCTTAACTAGCCGTCAACCTCATACTACGGTAGTACCCCCATCTTGCATTTGTCCCTTTTGTGGCGTTCCTTGGTCTTCTTTCAATCTTTTGCATCCATAATAAAGCTTGTCATGTAATTCCCACTTGCGTAAAGGCAAATGATAGGCAATCAAACAAGTGTCCGTAGAAAAATCCAGAGTACTTTTAATGTAATCCCTTACAATTGCACCATTTGTATGACCGTATCTTATCCTTCTATATATTTAATTTTATTTCTTTAATTTGACTTTTATCATTCTAGTATTCATTAGTTTTAATCCACATGCCCTAAAACTAACAAGTTTACTCCCATATTTAAAAATTGTTTCAAATATTAAAGTTTCAACTAGATTAGTCCTAAGATAATAAACGTTAGATGTATAAGTTTATGTAATATATACTCCCTAGTAGTATTCCTATGTTTTTTAATTAGCACTTTCATAATACTATACACAAAATCTATCCTTTACATGTCATGCAGAAAACCACAATAATCACATAAAAGTGTACCTTAGGTAATTATCATATACATCATCAAAAACAAAGTTTAAAACAAGTCTTACCTTGATACATGCACCACTTTCATTTTCATAAACCTTATTCTACTAAAAGAAATCACATAACCAGTCAATTATGGTTTAAATTAACATATCAATTTAGATTTTTAGCTACGACAAGTTCAATTTGAATATACATACGTACTCCCTCATCTTTTGAAGTCAATTCATTTTTAATTTTCACTTTATTTTCATACAACTTTTTTTTCCGTATTATAAATCTTCCTGTTGTGCGACAGCGGAAGCAAAGGTCGAAAACAAACAAGAAAACAATAAAGAAATTCAATGCAAACAATAAGAACAACACCAAGAATTTACGTGGTTCACTATCGATGTGATAGCTACGTCCACGGGCACCGAGATCGAATGATTTCACTATAAACTGCAAAGATTACAAAGATGATTCTTGTATTTCTCAAGAACGGCTCTCACTCTCTCTCTCTTAACCCTTATACTAATATTAGGGAGGTTTTATATTAATCCCTAAAATAAAAGATACTTGGGCAAAAAGATAACATAAAAGATAACTTTAAATCGTAAAATCCGCGTCTCCGCATTTTTCCTTCTCCGCCCGGTCAGACCGGGCAAGGTCTGCCCGATCGGGCGCGAGAAGAAAACTCCATACGAATGCTTCAACGTATCCAACCCCCACCGCCCGGTCAGACCGGGCAATGTCCGCCCGATCGGGCGGACAAAGCTACGAAGTACGAGTCACCTAATACTTATCAACAATCTCCACCTTGACGAGAACTCGTAGTCAGCAAACGACCCCATCAAGACATAGTGGAAAAACATCTCAAGCCAAACCCGATGCAAGACTCATGCATAAGCCATACATCCCGATAAGTCTTCAACCAAGACCCATCACATACTCGTCTCCAAGTATAACAACTCATAATGCTCCACCTGCATCACAAGCCCCGGGCAAGCTCCACCTTAAGGCCAACACACCTACACCAGGAGCTCCCCAACTTCGCCCCTCAGGGCCTACTACATCACGTAGTAATCAATATTTAGCAAGTCTAAGCAATGTTTAAACTTGCTAAACGGAACAGGCTTAGTGAAGAAATCAGCCGGGTTGTCAGCAGTCCCAATCTTCTTCACCTTAATCCTCTTGTCAGTACGCAAGAAATGATACCTGACATCAATGTGCTTCGTCCGATCATGGTGTACTTGATCTTTAGCTAAGCAAATCGCACTTAGACTATCACAATACACTGTAGCAAAATCCTGTGCAATACCCAGTTCACCTACTAGGCCTTTGAGCCAAATAGACTCCTTAGCTGCAGAAGTTAAAGCCATATACTCAGCTTCAGTAGTTGACAACGTAACTGATGACTGCAATGTAGACTTCCAACTAACCACAGAACCACCCAAAGTGAACACATAACCAGTCACAGACCTCCTGGTATCCACATCAGCTGCATAATCAGAATCACTGTACCCAGTGACCAAGCATTCCCTACCATTCCCGTACACAAGACCAATATCAGTTGTCCCTCTCAGGTAGCGAAAAATCCTTTTCACCCCTTGCCAGTGTTCCCTCCCAGGTCGAGCCATAAACCTGCTTACAACACTAACAGCATGCGCAATATCCGGCCTAGTACAGACCATAGCATACATCAAACAACCAACCGCGTTTGCATATGGAACTCTAGACATATAAGACAACTCCTCCTCTGATTGAGGTGACATAGACAAAGACAACTTACAACTAACAGTAGTTGGCGTACTTATAGGCTTCGATTTTTCCATCCCAAAACGAGACAAAATCTTTTCAATGTAGCTTTTCTGAGTCAAGAAAAGCTTACCTCTAGCCCGATCCCTGTAGATCTCCATACCCAAAATCTTCCTAGCTGCACCCAAGTCTTTCATGTCAAACTCCGAGTTAAGCATCTCCTTTAATCTAGCAATATCAGATTTATTCTTTGTGGCAACCAACATGTCATCAACATATAACAAAAGATAAATCATGGAACCATTATCCAGCTTACTATGATACACACAGCAATCATATGAATTCCTGTCAAAACCTTGTGAAACCATAAAAGAATCAAACCTTTTGTACCACTGTCGGGGGGATTGCTTAAGTCCATACAATGACTTTAGCAATCTGCAGGCATAGTGTTCCTTTCCAGGAACTTCGAATCCTTCGGGCTGCTTCATCAGAATCTCCTCCTCCAAATCGCCATGAAGGAAAGCCGTTTTAACATCCAACTGCTCCAGCTCAAGATCAAAATGTGCTACAATTGACAATAACACACGGATAGAAGTATGTCGAACCACAGGTGAGAATATCTCAACAAAATCAACCCCTTCTACCTGACTGAACCCCTTAGCAACTAGCCTAGCCTTAAAACGTATTTGCTCAGTTTCCGACAACCCTTCTTTCTTCTTGTAAATCCATTTACAACCCACAAGCTTCCTCCCTTCCGGTACCTTTACCAGTTCCCACACTCTGTTCTTGTAAAGAGACTGCATCTCTTCACCCATTGCGGCAAGCCATTGCGCAGACTCACTACAACTAATTGCTTGTTTATATGTGGCAGGTTCAAATGACTCTACATCATCAGCTACACTCAATGCATAACCTGTCATCGCATCAACACAGCAATTTCTTCCCTCCATCTCTTCAATCAATCTAACAGGCTTCTTGATAACTCGTTTAGGCATCTCAAGAATGGTGTCAGGTTGACTAGATGACCCCTGATTAGATTGCTCCACCTCATCCCCAGAGTTAGAATGAGTAGGAGTAATCTCAGGTTCAGGAGTACCCGGCACTGGAACATCAGCATCATCATCAATATATTGTACCCGAGGTAAATCAGCAATGGTAGACTGATGTACCTCAAGTACCCCATCTGTCTGTAATAAATTGTCTCCTTCCCTTCTCAAATCTGAAATCTCTGCATTTTTAATTGAATACATGGTGTTTTCATCGAAAGTAACATCCCTACTAAGAATGACCCGACCCTCCGAAGGTGAAAAAATTCTAAACCCCTTCACACCATCCCCGTACCCAACAAAACACCCCTTCTTGGCTCGTGGATCCAGCTTACCCTCAATAACATGATAATAAGCAACACAACCAAAAATCTTCAAATTCGAAAAATTAGGCAACTTACCACTCCAGATCTCAAACGGAATTTTGGAATCAATTCCAGAATGAGGACCCCTATTAATGACATAACAAGCTGTTAACACAGCTTCACTCCAGTACCTCCTCCCAAGCCCTGCATTAGAGAGCATGCATCGAACTCTCTCTAGCAGTGTCTGATTAACCCGTTCTGCTACACCGTTCTGCTGTGGTGTCTTCCTGACAGTATGATGCCGACCTATACCCTCATCTGCACAGAACTGATTAAACTCGTCTTTGCAAAACTCTAGCCCATTGTCCGTTCGTAGCTTCTTGATCTTCCTTCCTTGTCGATTTTCCACCAAAGCTTTCCATTGCTTGAAAACTTTGAAGGCCTCATCCTTTGACTTAAGCAACCTAAGCCATGTGTATCGGGACTTGTCATCAACAAATGACACAAAATAGTGGTAACCTCCCATACCTTCAACTCTAGATGGACCCCAGCAATCTGAATGGATGTAATCGAGCACTGCATCAGTAATGTGAGCACCCTTGCTGAACTTTGACCTGTGTTTCTTACCAAACACACAATGCTCACAAAATTCAAGGTTGGCAACCTTGACCCCGGATAGAAGACCCCTCTTGGACAATAGCTGCATCCCCTTCTCCCCCATATGACCAAGCCTCATGTGCCAAATCTTAGTCATCTCCTGGTGAGATACAGATGCGCAAACCGCAGAACTAGGCAGTGTAACACCCTCAAAAACATAGAGGGTGTTCCTTTTGATACCCTTAAGTACCAACTCAGAACCTCTGAAAATACACAACTCCCCATCTGAAAACACACCATTGTACCCCAAGTCATCCAGGGTACCCAATGAAATCAGATTCTTTCCTAAAGCAGGAACATGCCGTACATTAGTCAAAGTTAACCTCCGCCCATCAACAGTCCTCAACCTCATGGAACCAATACCTGTGACCTTACATGGAGCATTGTTACCGACTATAACCATACCCCCATTGCGAGGTTCATATGTATCAAACCAATCTCGACGTGGACACATATGGAACGAACACCCCGAATCTAGAACCCAGTTATCAGATAAATCATCAGACCTAGCAGAACTGACTAATGCTAAATCTTCCTCTGAATTATAGCTCTCATTCGGTTTCTCTTCAACTACAGCAGCCTGGGACTTGTTTTTCCTCACCGGACAATTATTCCTAAAGTGACCCGGTTCTTTACAGTAATAACATGTTTTAGTAGTAGTTTTACTAGATCCATCCTTGCCGTTTCCAGCACCCGACCCAGCATTGTTCCCCTTGTTAAACCCCTTATTCTTTTTAGACTTTCCGGACTTAACAAACAACCCACTACCATTATCCCCATTATCACTCGTAGCTTTCATTCTGAGTTCCCTAGTATGAAGTGCTGCCTTCACTTCTTCTAAGGTTATAGAATCCTTACCAACAACAAAAGACTCTACAAAATTCTCAAAGCTAGACGGTAGAGATACAAGTAAAATCAACGCAGCATCCTCATCATCAATTTTAACATCTAAATTACGTAAATCAAGCAAAATAGAGTTAAGTTTTTCTAGATGTTCCCGTAAGGAAGTACCTGACTGCATCCGGAGGCTAAACAACCGCTGTTTCAGTAATAATTTGTTGGTCAACGACTTAGTCATATACAATGACTCCAGCTTCAGCCACAATCCAGCCGCCGTTTCCTGATCAGCCACCTCCGTGATGATTTGATCATCAAGACTAAGTAATATGGTAGAGTGTGCCTTCTCTTCCATAACTTCTAACTGCGGGTCAGTCGGTCCATCTTCTGACTCCGAAGTAGTACTCTTTGGAGCCAACGGACGCCATATCTGCTGTTGTTTTAACAGAGCCTTCATCTTAATTTGCCATAGCCCGAAACTATTTTTCCCGGTAAACTTCTCAATTCTTATTGTTGAATCTCCTGCCATTGTTATCTTCAAGAAACTCTCCAAGGATTGAACCTGAGCTCTGATACCAATTGTTGTGCGACAGCGGAAGCAAAGGTCGAAAACAAACAAGAAAACAATAAAGAAATTCAATGCAAACAATAAGAACAACACCAAGAATTTACGTGGTTCACTATCGATGTGATAGCTACGTCCACGGGCACCGAGATCGAATGATTTCACTATAAACTGCAAAGATTACAAAGATGATTCTTGTATTTCTCAAGAACGGCTCTCACTCTCTCTCTCTTAACCCTTATACTAATATTAGGGAGGTTTTATATTAATCCCTAAAATAAAAGATACTTGGGCAAAAAGATAACATAAAAGATAACTTTAAATCGTAAAATCCGCGTCTCCGCATTTTTCCTTCTCCGCCCGGTCAGACCGGGCAAGGTCTGCCCGATCGGGCGCGAGAAGAAAACTCCATACGAATGCTTCAACGTATCCAACCCCCACCGCCCGGTCAGACCGGGCAATGTCCGCCCGATCGGGCGGACAAAGCTACGAAGTACGAGTCACCTAATACTTATCAACACTTCCTAATATGATAATTTAGCAATTTTAAGAGATCAAGAAAGAAATAAGAAGTGGTGTAAAAATCATGCTACATATAGTATGTATAGTAATAGAATAAAAATGAATCAATTTTTGTAAACCGTCTCAAGTGTTACAGTAAATCTTTAAAAGACGAAGAGAGTGGACGCGATCAGCACGTTGCCTAATAAAATCTGTTTGACTGCCGTCCTTATGGAATGTATCCTTGAAACATTAATGAAGCCATACAAATCAAACTGAAACAAAAACTAAACCGTGTTACTTGATGATCTGTCCCCACTTACATATGAGCTAGACGAACACGTGGAGGACCCGTAATGGTTCTACAGCTATTCATTTTCATTATTATTTAAAAATAAAATCACCGTCTACTTGGTCCCAATAACTTGTACCAAACCTTGAAATCAATGGTCAGAAATACAAATCAACTATCCCATTGTCCACTTCAACGGTTCAGATTAACCTAACATCTTGACCCTTTAAGCAATAATAATAATATACTTTAATTATTGACGTAAATAATTACGATAAATTAATAATTTTTGTTTCTATAAAAATGAATTAGAAGCTTCTAGGCCAGCATTAAAAAGGCTGTTATTAATTTCCACCATTGTTGCAAATATATACAAGGAAATAATAAGACACGTAAATTATAAGACAGCCTTATAATCTCAAACTCCAACTAATTATCAACCCGCCAGCTCAAAAGAACCATTCGAAATTTCAAAACCATTTTCTTTGTCTTCTTTTTCTCTCTTTTTAAACATCATCATTTTCTCTTCTTCCTTTTTCTTTTCCTTCATCTCTGGTTTTTTTTTTTAATTCCGAAAAAAAAAAACCAGAGATCAAGCTCGAACATAATAAATAATATGTTCGAGTAACAATACAACATATAATCAGTGAAAAAAAAATTATCAATGGAAAAAGGCGCGCTATTTGGAAAATACGAGGTAGGGAGGCTGCTAGGATGTGGCGCCTTCGCCAAAGTATACTACGGGAGGAACATTCAAACCGGCCAAAGCGTGGCGATCAAAGTCATTAACAAGAAGAAGGTTGTAGGGACGAATCTAATGTCAAACATTAAAAGGGAAATAACGATCATGGCTCGTCTTCGGCACCCGAACATCGTACGTTTGTACGAGGTTCTAGCCTGCAAGTCTAAAATTTATTTTGTGATAGAGTTCGCTAAAGGTGGGGAGCTCTTCGCTAAAGTGGCGAAAGGCCGCTTTAGCGAAGACCTCAGCAGAAAGTATTTCCAACAGCTAATCTCAGCTGTTGGATACTGTCATTTTAGAGGGATTTACCATCGAGATCTTAAACCCGAGAATTTGTTAGTGGATGAAAATGGAAGTCTTAAAGTTACGGATTTCGGGTTAAGTGCGGTCAAAGATCAGATCCGACCCGAAGATGGGTTGTTGCATACGCTGTGTGGTACACCCGCTTATGTAGCACCGGAGATTTTGTCGAAGAAAGGGTATAATGGTGCGACGGTTGATGTGTGGTCATGTGGGATAATATTGTATGTTCTTACAGCTGGGTATTTGCCGTTCAATGATCCTAATTTAATGGCGATGTATAAGAAGATTTATAAAGGGGAATTTCGGTGTCCGAAATGGATGTCGAATGATCTTAAGCGTTTGTTGGGTCGTCTCCTTGAAACCAACCCGAAAACTCGGATTACTATTGATGAAATAATACATGATCCTTGGTTTAAGAAGGGTGGTTTGTTTAAAGATAAAGGTCCCGAGTTTGAGTTTCAGTTTTATCATGACTGTTATAGTGATGATTTGGATGACAGCATGAAGTTTTTTGCTGAACAACAACAGCAGCAGCATCAGCAGGTGGTGGAATCGGGTGCGAGTACGAGTAGTAGTACTAGTACTAGTGCTAGCGTGAGTGCGAGTACTAGTAGTAGTAGTATTCCATTGAATGCATTTGATTTGATTGCATTCTCATCAGGGCTTGATTTGTCGGGGTTGTTTAACGAGTCTTACAATCCGTTTGTGGATGGTGAGAAGTTCTTATCGGATATGACAGTTGATAAGATCATTGCTACAATTGAAGAAGCTGCGGGTGAGCTGAATGTCAAGTGCCGCAGGAGGAAGGATTGTGTGGTGGACTTGGAAGGTCCAAAAGGCGATTTTATAGCTAGGGTGGAGATTAACCAGCTGACTGAAGAGCTGGTAGTTGTTGAAGTGAAAATAAAAGGGGGAGAATCTGCATCCTACAATAAAATTTGGAAGAAGAAGTTGATGCCTAAACTTTCAGGGTTAATATATGACCCTAAATCACAACCTGCTGAAGAAGTTGATACGACGAATGATGAAGTAGAAGCTACTCCTGCTGTTGTGTCTACTGATGAGTGAATGACACTCTAATAATGATACTATATTGCTACTAATACATTTTGCTTGCTTTTGGGAAATTAACACTATATAATCAGGTTTAGTTTTCGCGGCAGCTGCAAGCTGGGTGGGCTTAGGGGTTCTAAGGGAAGGAAAGCCGGTATGCTATTGAATCCGAGAATGGAAGTTGTTGTTTGTGCATTTTGTGGAGTGTCTGAAAATCTGTCATATAGATGGATTGTTTGAGGTTCTTTTGCTGATGTTTTTTCTCTGTTTGTATTATAGTTTGTGAGTTTTAGCATAATCATCGACTGGTTCGATTGTTTATGTCTGAAACAAATTTCATTAGTAGTGTAATCTACTATATGCTGTAATAATAATCCATGTATTCAGAGAGGAGGTAGTCATACCCGGGATTTTTCCTGATTGCCCGGAAGAGTAAGCATGTTGAGGTACTGTTTTTCATTGACAAAAAAAAAAAAAAAAAAAAAAAAAAAAAAAAAAAAAAAGGGATTCAGTTCATTTGTAAATTGTATAGTACATACTACTAATCAATCCATTGTATAGTTTATGAAATTTTAATGAAATCTCAGTTGGGTAAGTCATATGTGTTCATATTTCTGTTTTCTCTAACTAATTGGTGCAAGTACTCTGAGATTGTTGTAATCAACCTTACTTATCAAAGGGCACATAATAAGCCACACACCCCGAAAATAGAATTTATAAATCTGTGCACATTGAGAGTGAGGAGTAGCTCAAGTGTTTAGACCTCCAAAGAGATCCTGAGATCAAATTTCACCCAGTCCTTGTGGCTCTCTAAACACCGGAAAAAAAAATCCGTGCACATTTGTTACAGACAACAATATGGTGCATATAAGATACTTGTTAAGGTATACTATTGGGCGTATTTAAAATCATACGAATTTACTTTTATGTCCTCGTAAACGGACAAATTAGTCGATTACTAGGCTGTTTTTTAGTGGGAGGAATCGGAAATGAGTGGTGGGGTGGGCCGCAGCTGTACATATCATGGCAAGCACTTGGAAGAATATAAGAGGGTCAGTTGCTCATGATACTGTGGGTGTTGGGTGGTCTAATTCAATAGAAGATATTTTGTGGAAATTTCGTGACGCCAACCTTGATCTCCAAAGTTTTATCAGGACAAGATTTGTTTATTTACATGGATAGATGTCAAATCATTCCCAATTGTTCAGGCCTTACAATCAATCAACTCCATGATTTTAAAGCTAATCATTATAAAATAATGATGATGATGATTGATGATGCAGCAAAAAATGGAAAGTTAGAACATGCTTAACTTAGGTACTTCAATAGCCTGCAAATGATACAGGCAACAAAATCATGCAATATTGTTACATCTAACATTCCATCATGTAGTATACCAAATGATGTTTAATAATGGTGTTTCGAGTGACCTAAGCCGACCTAAGGGTTGAACTCTGCTGTGTTGAGACAGGAATTTTAACAAGTATGAAGCTAAAGGGTTTGAGTCTGCTGTACTGAGGGAGTTCAGTCAGTTTAGTTAAAAGGTCATGCTAGTGTTGCGGTGTATAGAGATTAGACCAGTTTAATCGACTGCTTGGGCCTGAAGCCTGAAACTAAGTAAATATTCTGTCTTCCTTTGGAATATCTATTTCTGGGGGTGATTTCTGGACTCACTCACTGACTCACGATGCTGCTGCAAACTCACTTGCATAAAAAAAGATGTATTAATGTATTCTCACCCTAACAGCTAAACAGAAATAAGTTTTCAAGCTGATATGGAATGTAAATCCTCTGCTAATATTTCATACTGCTGTAACCCTAGTATATGCTTCCGTATCTCTCTAGTCATGGTGTACGTCCCAAATCGTTCACGTCACTCCAGAGAAATCATCTGGAGTGCGATCCTTTCAACAATATCAACATCATAAACTAACACACACAGGGAAAGAAATGATATTCTACCTGAGGACCCTATCCTTTGTGATATAATCTGTTATTTAAAGCCAACCACAGACAGCCCCAGGAGTTAGTAGTTACTTGTATAACAGATCAACAGCCCTTTCCATAGGCCCCTCCTAAGCTTCTTATATCAGTACCTCAAGCCTCCTTCAGCTTTTACTTCGTACATATATCTTTACCACAAGCACGGTACCCTTAAGCTTCTAAAACTACCACATTGACAAGCACAACACAACTTTGTATATTATTGATCTAAATTGGTTTAAATAGTTTTTGACAGCAATTTCAAGTTAATGTCTTGACGAATTACCTAAATGGTTGTAATTAGTGTTTGTAATAGTACAAACACAATGATATAACAAAACAAAACAAAAAATTCCACTATTAAAAAAAAAAAAGACTGATTGTAATAATAATTAAAAAATCTCATTATTGATTTTTTTTTTTTTTTTGCATTAATAAACACGATTATTCTTTGATACAATAATTAATCCAACACCATTACAAGCTAGGACGAAGCCACTTAAAATGGAACACATCATATAGAGGAGATAATGTATAATGATACCATTATTGATGAGATGGTTGAGGAATATATTTCTGTATATCATGATGTAAAGGAAGATCAAGGAAGTCTTCAATTACCTGAGGACACGACTTTCAACTCTTATAGGTCACTAAGGCTGTATGTTGATGTAGAACAAGCAATGACGACTTTGACAATGAGGAATTCCCACCAGTAAATTAAAATGTATCCAGTAACAGCATTCCAATATTCTACAGTTGGATGAAAGAAGGTGATCCAGTCAAATCAATGAATGAAGGAAATTCACTGACTGCTCTTCTCTTCTTGCTGCCTCTAGTGATTCTAATGTCAGGTGAAGGCGTACAGAGTTCTATAACCTCAATCCCCTCATTAGAAAATGGCCGAACAGTATTAGCAATTCTATTAGGAGACTGAACTCTCATTGTTTGGCATTGCTGCTCAGTGATATCATCAATTACTATACATGTTATTTCGTCTTTCTTGGTAACATCTTCCGTAACTGCAACAAAATCTACCATTGAAGGAGGGTCTGAATTTGAAGGACCGGCTTGCTCAAATGATGTATGCTCCTCTATTACAGGGGAAGAACCTCTCAACTCCTTGGGCCAAAACTCTTTTCCATGTCTTGAGCACTCGTCAAAATCGTTCCCAGTGGGGAAAGGAGCATCAGCAGGCAAGTCACAAGAAGATTGATTTTCCTCTAGAATGGAAAACAACTCATTCTCAGAAGTGTATACACCCCCAAATGGTTCTATGTGCTCCCCTAAATCAGGGAAAGAAGTTCTATCATCATCAATCCATGTCTCTTCCCAAGGTTGTAACTGGTCATTCGAAGTGTTCAGAGTAGCACTAACATCAACAGGTAATTGATGCAATGGCTTTTCCTCCGGCGCACTCATCAATGATGACTCACTCTCCAATGAATCAACAATGCCTATGCTTTCCCTAGCTAAGATAGAATCACTTGAATTTTGTGAGGTACAGCTTTGAGCATGAATTGAAGAAGGTATCATCTCCATTGAAACATCAGCTGAAGATTCTATTCTGTCATCAGAACAGCTGGGCGAAACTTCACCATCATTTGAGTCAAAGTCATTATCATCATCATCACAACCGTACGTTTGGTCACTGTCCCCATAGCAAGGAAGCTCATCCATGGAACAAAAATGAAGTTTCATTTGGTGAGGCAAGCTTGGACACCCAGCAGCATGCTTCATGTATGTTGTAGAGAAGAAACTAACTGTGAGGTTCAGACTGAACATACAACATAAGAAGAATTATACAAACACTTCAGTCTCAGCACAATGATACTTAATCAAAAAACAAGTCAGATAGATCATTGGATTCATTGCACAAAATCAAAAAACCTAAGAGAAGAGATATGCTTATGTTATACCTTTGCCAAGAGTGGAGAGTAAGCATAGTGAGTGCAAGTTTGATTTTGTTGGCAAGTCCTCCAAGGGTTTTAAATCCCGCAGCCGCTTCTCGTACTGCTAATGACTCTTTAGGATGCTGCCATGCCCATTCAAACTGCAAAACCATTCAACACTCAATCTACAACTATAAATTTCAAAAATTTTAGCAACAAGACTAGAGATTTGATCATAAAATCTTGTGAATTAAATCAAGAAAATGTGCTGAAAATGCAAATATCTCCAAATATGGCAGAAGAAAAGAAAAAAACAATCATAATTGTATAAAATCATAATCAAATTGCAATCTTGCAATAAATCAGACTAATTGTATCCCCAATTCAAATAATCAAAATGTAATCTTGCAATGGACCACACGAATCAAATTCCCCAATTCGATCAAAGATAATCATCAATTATACCCCCAGTTCAATGAAAGATCAAAATCAAAATGCTTTCTTGTAATAAATCAAACAAATCATATCCCAATTCAAATCAAGAATTCTCCTTTATGTAATAAAAATGATTTACAAAAGATTCCACCTTCAACATTGATGATCAATAAATTAAAAAAGGGGAAAACCTGAAGAGCAGCAACATTAGTTGGAAAACCATGAATACAAAGAACCATTTCCCAAGGTCGTTTCTTCTTCGTTCTGAAAGCTCCGCTAGTAATTTCCCCATTATGTTGCCTAATTCGTCGTTTTGGGTTCACTGTAAACCTATTAATTAACAATAAAAATCAAATTTTTTTTCCAATCGAATAAATATACAAGATTATTGAAATCGAAGATCAAAAGCTACAAAAAGAATACCCAATATAAGAATGACCCTTGAAACGAGGAGAGAGAGAAGTTAAGAGATAGCATCCAAAAAACTTAGAAGTTCCATTTTGAGCATCTTCACACTTCTCCTTGTTCATTATTGGTGGCTGGGATTTTTTCTGCGCACGACGCCATTTAATTGCCTGTTCCTGTGTTACTTTTTTCCCTGTTCTTCTCCGCCTCATCTCTGATCTCTCTTACTCTTACTCTTTCTCTTTCTCTTTCTCTTTCTCTTTCTCTTTCTCTCAGATGTGCAATTTTTTTTTTTTTTTACTTACTTTGGAGTTTTTTGACCGTTGGGACTAATTTTTCCAGAAAAATACTGGTTTTTTAAAAAATAATTACCATAAATAATTAGATAATGTATTTCACTATTTGGCCATTTCAAGGGTAATGGGCTCGTGACACATACCCATTACCCACGACGGGGGTGAGGCAATTGGGTTACACGAGTCAAGTATTTATACATTCTACCAAGTACGAAGTATATATTATTTTTTTGAAACTTTTTTTTTTTTTTTTTGTTGAGGAATTTTATTTTTTTTTGAAGGATACTTCATTAGTTTTATGTTAATTAATAAATAAAAAAAAAAATCAAACAATTTTGATTCAAAATATTAGGGAAATCTTCAATCTATAGATTGAAAGAGCTTCAATCTGTAGAGTTGAATAGCATAAACATATACTTCGTATAATGTAATAATGATGATGTTTCTCTGTTTAAGCAAACCTGTTTCACTCATGTTTTTAGGTGTGTTGCACTTATTATAAGTTTATAACCTTCTTTTTTTTTTTTTTTAAGGCAAATAATCATTTTTATTGTTTTTAAGTAGTTTGTAGATTATCTGGATTATTTTGTTTAGCTGAACCTATACTACCACACTAGCACATAAATTTATCACTTAAATCTCAATAATAAGCACCCTTATTTTGAAGGTTTAGGGTGAATTTGGATACATGAGTAGTGAGTCGAATATTGTTATGTTCTACACTGTAATTTTGGACTCAACCAATTTCGGACTCACTGTAATTTTCCCCCAAGTAATATGAAACTTCACTCTATAATACGAGTACAAAGTATGAAATGTGATTTACTATTTTGTTAAATATCACTAAAAATGTAAGGAGGACAGTATAAATAATAAATACTGTACTAGAAGTAGTCAAAATAGATAAGAGACTAGGATTTTATATGTGCAATTTTGAAATACTTGGTATTCATTTGCAATTTGTAACAGCTTGTGAAACTACACAATATTTCTGTTTTGAATTTCTTCTTTCACATCCAAAATATCGAGATTTGGAGATAAGACATTCATATACTAACAATTGATTTGAAGCAAACTTCAATTTCAATCATAAATATTCTAACAATTGATTTGAAGCAATTAAGCAAACTTCAATTTCCATGCGCATGGCTTTTGCTAATATTCATCAATTAATGTTTCTCTGCTCTTTGACTATCTTCAATGCCCATTTCAAGCACCAAATACATGTAATAAGGTCATAAGCAATCAACCTGCAAAAGGATTCTCAAGTATACATTTTCCATTAAACAGTTCAAACAACATTTTATACCTATCTGATGTGAATCTATGGGTAAAATCGGTTCCTTGAACAAACAAGTTAAGAACGCAAATGCAACTAAATAAGCACCAGTTCATCACAGCTTAGGACAGCTAAAGCTCAGCACTACGAGCGCCAGGAAGAAGCAAGGAAAGCCCCCAAAGAGCTAAGAACATAATTTTCATCTCTTTTCAGAGACTCAACAAGGAGTCAGGATGCAAGAGGACAAAAGCAACTTATATCCGCTTTTAAAGCAGAGAAAGTTCTAGAATCAGATGGATACATGCCCAAATTCTAATGGTAACACGCAAGAAAAAGTCCTAGAATCAGATTAAAACATTTGCAGATTCTAATGGCAACACACCAGAGAAAGTCCTAGAAACAGATAGAAACATTTCCAAACATGAAAATACACTCATCAGTAAACAAAATACAAGAGTACTCATCTACTTTATTTGCTGTCTATAAGTCTGTTTGGCCACAAAGTGCAATTCAATCTTGCCCAAGCTTAGCTGAGTTACAAGTTAGTGACGACATAGACAAAAATCCAGAAACGTTAATCCAATTAAAATGATAGAGCTCGTAGAAGGCTATGAGTTCAAATCTTAAGTAATGGTGATAGAAAATGATGATTATCAGTTCCTCATAGAGTCATTGTAACAACTCCCAGCTACCCTAAAATGGAACATGACCTGAACATGAATAGATGTTTATTAAAAATCCCCAAAATGGAAGAAGACACGTTCCTGGAGGTAGGGTGTATCTCTAGATGGGATTTGTACAACTCTACAGCACTGAATTTCTACTTAGCAAGTTAGCACCCAAGGGGTAAGTGACTTAAGGTGGACTGTTCAAGTATTCAGTAACACCACAGATAGAAGAAGCAAGTCATAGGTTTACAAGTAATAACAGGCCTCTATTTATAATACAAATGCACTTCTGAAATGAATAGATCATTCATCATTGACTACGGAATGGCAAAGAGTTGCTGCTTGTCAAATAGACAACTTTCTTAGAAGAAAGGAGCCACTCCACACATGCAGAGGGAATCAAGGCTCAATTGCACATACAGGCAATAGATAAGCCCCCAACTCCCCACCAGCACTGGTGGAACCTACATTAGTAAATATCTAGTTCCTTATAAGTGTTATCCATAAGGATAAAGCTAACAATAACACCACAGATAGAAGAACCACTTGACACAAGGTAAATTAATATGATGTGACTATGTGAGCAATTAATAAGGAACCTGAAACAGATAGTCATGATGGAGACTTGAGTAAGAGTTGTGGACTTGTGGGTAATCTGGCTACTCCCTGCACAATGTACTTAGCCTCATTCTAATGCAATTCTTTCTTCTACCTTTACAAGTTGATAATCGTTCTTAAATGTGGTCAATACACTCTTCTATACCCAGATTCAAATTATATACTACCTCCGTTTCTTTTTAGTTGACACGTATTCCTTTTTAGGAAGTTTTTTTTTTTTAGTTGACACGTTTCCTTTTGGGGTAAATTTTTTACCTTGCATTTACAAACTACCCCACTTACTTTTTCATTCTCTCTCACTCTCTCTCCTCTCCTTAATATATGTGTCTAAATCAAACGCGTCAACTAAATAGAAATGGAGGAAGTATGAAGTAAAAGAGAACAAGGGCATAACAACAATTACAAAGGCTATATAGGTCAAATAAGTTTACTTATCAATTTTGATAGCCAAGTGGATAATAATCTTAACTTTGTTGGATGAAAACATCTCATGATGCTCAAATCTTGGGATACGGAACATCCTTCAGTAACAAGCTGGCAGACACTCCCAACGTTTTTATCACTAAGTCCAGAGTAGGAGCAATAATATGGATTCATGAGTAACTTTGTGAGGGTAGGCAGTAAAGAAGTGTCAAGTTTGTATGCTCGGATTCTAGCTAGATGCGCTCAAATCCACTGACTCCAATGCTATTGTACGATACTATGGTATAGAGTCGAACAGCAACTTCTCCATGGGGAATGACAGGAGTGAAAGCAAGTTCAATTTTGCGGAGTTACAACTAAGAAGTAGGTCAAGACCAATGAGAAAGACAAGGTTTGGCCTAGTCAAGTCCTAAAACTATGAGATAGATTCACTGATACACTCTTCATAGCTGGTGGCCTGCTGCCCAGCACAATGCTTGTTTTATGATCTTCTAAAAAACTATTACTACTTCAAAACTACAATATACCAGACTCTTTCTCCAGCAGCAACACTAATAAAGGGATCAGACCTCAGCAACCGCACACTGTGACACTGCATATTATTTCCATAACAACTGTGTCACTACAGTACACATTTCATATGAGCTTTAGAGAAGCCGCATTTGTAGAGTACCTAAATCACCCGACAGACAAATCCCTCAAACAAAAAAACCTATGGTTCCAAATCTATATAAACAAAGAGACAAAGGGACACACACAGAAACAGCATAGCATGATATTAATTGAAGATGCAGGAGAAGAAATTAAGCAGAAGATAAAAAATCAAAAATACCATATCATTAACAAACATGTGTATGTACATATTATTCATAGAATATTACAACAATACATCAATTGAAGTGAAAGCCAACAATCATTATCATGATTCTTAGCCTTAGTTACGGTTACCAATAATGCATCTTCTTCAAATTAACAGAAACAACATCATCATCATCATCAACAACAGCAGCAACAACGACAGCAAGAATAATATCTACCATGCTACTTCGTATATTGTATCTAAGAAGAATTAGGGCGAGCTCTTAGCTGAAGCAGCAGAGAAATACTTCCAGAGATACCGACCGCTCGCCATATCCACAATTATCCAAAAACTCGAACTAATCCCCGCCATTACCTTATCCTTCAATTCAATAGAAATCAATTTCCAAAATTAGTACTAAATTACTAATCACATCAATTCCAACAAATTTCAAACCCTAAAACAGTGAAATCAAATAAAGGGAAGACAAATGAGAAATTGAAGATACCTTGTATGAAATCGGAGAAGAATTTTTAGGTTTTGGAGAATCGGGAAGAAGATTGAGGTCGAGATCATCGGAAGAATTGAGATTCTTGAGGACGAAAAATCCGGCAAGAGCAGCAGAAAGAAAAATCAAAATAATTCGAAGTGGACACATTTGAATTTCCGCAAATTTTTGGCAAATTCACCAACCAAAAGTAATTGAAGAGAGAGAAATTAGGGATTGATTGAAATTAGCGAAAAGGGGGGAAAAGAGTAGGTTTCAAGCTTTTTGAGTGAAGAGGTTGTTCAACGCTCGCTCTCAACCTGTCTCTTTTCGAAATTTTCCGGTGGTAACTAATTATGCCCCATTGGGCGTTGGTTGCGGGCGGGTGATTTGTTACGAAGGTCGTAAGAAAATAAGGATGGATTGCATTATTCGAGATTAATGGAATTAGATTTTACGAAGTATTGGCAGAAAAAATTAATACCGACAATTTTAGCTGTGGTTGATTGATTGGTCTCTTTACCTTAGGGCGCTCTTTATTTATCAACTATATGTCTGAGATTGAAATTTTGAATTATAAATTGACAATGTTCGACACAAAATACAAACTAGGGATTGAGATTAATGGAATTTGATTTTACGAAGTATTGGTAGGAAAAATTAACATTAGCAATTCTGATTGTGGTTGATTGTATGTCATGTGATTGAAATTTTAAATTATAAATCGACAATGTTTGTATAAATTTTAGATCATTCATACTCGTAGTAATATTGTAACGTAAGTTAGACTATTAAATCTAATATAAAGACTAGAATAGACCCGGTCTACAATAACTTATTGTAGACTCAACCTTCTAGTATACCATACGAATGTGATTATATTACTACAAAAGTGATTATATCATCCTGAAATTATCATGTAAATGAATCACTCAAAAAGTGATTTTTTTTTTTTGACAAGAAGAGAAAGGATTTCATTAATGAAAGATAGCCAAACGGCACATACAAACAATTCCGAGGAAATCTAAAATTCCAATACAAATACAATTCACCTTAGAACTAGTTACAACGCAGATTTGATCAACGATCGCCTTTATAAAAATCTTCATCTGAAGCAATACAATATGTGAGTTAGCACTAATTCGGCTTGAGATCCACATATGAATAGTTGTTTGGGTGAATAAACTCATATGACCTTCTAAACACTTTTGGAGATTGTGAAACCCTAAATCTTCAAACTTTGACAGATGAACAAACAAATAAATTAAACCTAATAGTATATCATTATAAAAAGTGAATTTATCATTATAAAAAGTGAATTTATCATTATAAAAAGTATCAAATAGTAAGTTACATCATTAAAAAAATGATTTTTAAATTTTATCATCCTATAGATTATAATATAATCTCAATTAAATGGTTTAATATGAGATTATATAATTCAAAATATGACTCACAAAAAGATAATTATATCATCTAGAATAAGTGATTATATCATCTAGAATGTGATTATATTATTTGAAAGTGTCAAATTTTGAGTCTACAATAATTTATTGTAGACCGGGTCCATACAAGACCAATTGTTAAATCTAAAAAATCATAAACCAAACATACTAGGGTACTAGCATTTGCATCGTTGGATTGGATATTCAAATCAATTTTGTGGCACTTAATTTAAGTTCATGCTAAGTTTTGTTTAACCTTAGAAAAGAATGTCAGATTTTTTCAGTGAACTAATTCCTGTGGTCTTGAGAACGGATCAACCCTGCATTGTTGCACAATTCAAATAGTTGTTAGTTTGTTACCATCGTAACTATACTGTAATTCTCATTGCTTTAATTTGGTCATGCTCTTGGTGTGTGAAAGAACTAAACATGGGCAACGGGTCGTGCCGTGCCGCCGCGGGCCGTGTCTGGCCGTGCCGCGGTGGTGGGCGTGCCGTGCCGCCGCGGGCCGTGTCTGGCCGTGCCTAAATTTGGCACACCCCAGCCCACGGCACGGCACAGCGGCCAAACCGTGCCACTTTTTTTTTAAAAAAAAAAATAAACGTAAAAAAAATCGATATATAAATATTTTTTAGTACAACTTAATTTTATATAAATAATGTTATAAATTTATGTTTATGTTAATGTTAATATATTTTGTTTTGAACAAACTATATTTTAATTAAGGTTATAAAAATTATTTATCTAATTATGTTTAAGTTTATATAAATAATTTTATTAATTTAGCAAAAAACAACAATACATATAATAAAAATTAAATTACCACTGTCGTGCCACGTGTCGTGCCGGCGTGCCGACCCACGGGCCGGCCACCGTGCCTCGTGCCGATTCCCAGATTTTTGTTCACGGCACAGCCCACGGCCCACAGGTGAGCCGCCGTGCCGTGCCGCCCGCGTGCCGGCACGGCCCATGCCCATCTTTAGAAAGAACATTAATAATGTAAAGCCACAGCCCACACTATATGTAGTTTTTTTTTTTTTTTCACCGGTAACAAGGAGCCCCACCCTTTCACATGAATGGGGGAGGGGGGAGGGGGATTCGAACCTCCACCACTAGGGGGAGGGGGGGGGGGGGAAACCATCCCTCCATCTCCCTAGTTCCTCACTGTACTTAGTATTACGAAACCAGAAGGAATGGAGGATAAATGTTGTTCACGGAAGAGTTTTAAGAGCAGAGTATTTTTAAACTGAGTAACAAATCCGGAATGGTAAGGTAAACTTAATTTTACTGTATCTGAATTGGAAAAGTAAATACAAACTATGATATATCAAGCATACACATACATCTTATATCCAAATACTGCCTCATAAATAAGCTCTGACCTTGTTGCAAAGTCGAGAATAGTCAGTAATGCAGTAAAAGGCATATAATTCGGGAGGGAAAGGAATCGCATGTTAATGTTGACATACTCTCCGATCATCAAAAACATGATCAAAGTATGGGACCAAGACGGCTAAAGAGAAGTTTCAAGAGTTTCTACCATCACTGCTACTGCTAAGACTGCTCCTGATTTTGCAATGGTTGCTGCAATTGCAGTGGCTGCTGCTGCTGTTCACCTTGCCAGGCCCAAACAATATCTTTTAAAGAAGGCCTTATATCTTCCTTTATCGCCTTTTGATACTCGAAAGTATCTCCATTAGCTTTTCTCATCTCCACCAAGTAGAGTGCAGGGGTGACCTCAAATATTTCTGCATCAATTGACAGAACACCTTTCCTTCCTTCGCTTGTGCCCTCGAAGTTTAGTAATCCTTTGTCCATCCTCCTTACTTTTAACCTTAAGTTTTTAGCAGTTTCCATAAGCTTAGAGATTATGGTAGAAGCAGCTTCCCTGGACGTAAATCTTGCTTCCTTCTTATGACTACAGTCTTCGAATAAGCCAGATAAATCAAAACCACACGAAAGGGATATGATATCAAATGCATTTAACTCTGCAGGTTTGATCCCCTCTTCCCTGGATTCTTCATTGGCATTGCTACTTCTGGAAGGGCCTGGATCTCCATTGCTAACCACATCATTAACTGTTATGCTATCTGTATCAGATTGGATAGGTTTTGGAGACAAGTCTTTTTTATACCAAGAACTCTCCTTTATCTTAGCAATTGTGACTCTAGTATCAGGGTTAGGGTCCAAGATCTTTCCTAATAGTCGGCGTGCATCCTTTGGAAACCAACTAGGGCATTTATATTCTGCTTTACCAATCTTTCTGTACATCTCCATCAAGTTTGAATCATGGAATGGAAGAAAACCAGCCAAGAGAACATATAAAATCACCCCACAAGACCATATATCAGCTTTGGCCCCATCATAGCCTTTCCTACTGATGATTTCGGGAGCAACATATGCAGGGGTCCCACAAGTGGTATGGAGTAAACCATCTTGTCGTTTAGTTTCAGCTAGAGCACTCAACCCGAAATCTGAAACCTTCAAATTCTCATTTTCATCTAGCAGCAAGTTTTCAGGTTTCAGATCGCGATGATAAACTCCGCGGCTGTGGCAAAAGTCAACTGCACTAATTAACTGTCTGAAATACAATTGAGCAACATCCTCCTTTAGCCTCCCTTTGGCCAGCTTGTCAAAGAGTTCACCGCCTTTAGCATGTTCCATCACAAAGTAAATTTTAGTCTTGGTCGCCATGACTTCATACAGATACACGACATTTGGGTGCCTAACCATTCCCATGACAGAAATTTCTCTCTTAATTTGATCCATGAGCCCTACTCTTAAAACTTTTTCTTTGTCAATCATTTTGATGGCCACACTCTGGCCATTTTGGATACTCCTTCCGTAATAAACCTTAGCAAAGGTACCTTGTCCTAGTAATCTCCCCATTTCGTACTTATCCATCAACACAGACGCTCTTGGCTCCATGACATACACAACGGAAAAAATCCTAGAGGCAATTTCAAGATACGAATCTCCTGCAAACACTGACTGTATATTGTATACTACTATGTACAAAGCAGGAGAACTAGAGCAATGATCGAAAATCAACCATCCCCATAAATGTAACGCCTGAATGCAGACGGCGTACTATTGTAATCAGTCCCTTGAAGCTTAAAGTCACCACCAAGACTCACAAAGCAGCGACGCGAGTATCCAATATCATCAACCGCCAACAATGCTAGGACAGACAAGTTCCTAGCCTCATCAGCTAATATATATAGTCCCCCAACAGACAACCACATTATTTAGCATTCCCTGAAAAATGTCTCTATACAAGACACAATCAGGAGAATGCTTAAAACAATCCCAACACCAAAAAATTTCCGGAATAACTCGTTGATAATCAGGTTAAGCTGCAAGAAGAGGCAAATTGATGACAACTAAAATCACAAGTAACAAAAATCAAAAATTTTAAAATTCTGCAATTCAGAAAGTTTAAAACGTCTAGATTCCTAATTTTCCTTAAATTAAAACAGAAATACTGAATAATTAATAGCAGTGCTACTTTAAAACATAAAAATTAAACAAAAATGACACAATCCTCCACAAAACTCATACACCAAAACAAAATACCATCAAAATTCACCATTAACCCAAATTTAAATTCTCAAAAAAAATCACAAACATCATATATTCATAAGCATACACACATATATTAACCTAAACAGAAATTGAATTCAAAATTACAGAAAATACAAAAAATTAATAGGGAAAAATAAAGTTAGGGTAAATTTACCAAGAATTCGAAGTGGGGTTGTAGCTGCGATGCGAAATTGGAGGTAGAAGAGAAAATTGAGAAGATTATCGAAAACGGGGGAATTTGATGACAGATCTGAAAGACAAGTTGGTTGCAAAATATGGCAAAATAATCGTCGCGCTTACGATAGTTTGGCTGGGTCAGGGACTCCGGCTTCTTCTTCTTTGTTGTATTTAAATTTCAATTTTTCCCCTAAATTTTTTTAAAAAAATTTCTTTTTCTATGTGTTGCATAAATAAAGAAATGAAACGTAAGTAGATTTTTCCCCAAATAAAGAAACGTATGGAGATTTTACTGGTTTTGGTTTGTTTTTTTTATATTTTGGGTTTTGTTTGGTTTTGTCTTTTTATTCTTTTTTTAGTTGAGGTGTAAGTGTATTGAGTTGAATATGAATAGATTCGAATGGGAATGGATAAGGGAAAATGTGTAAGTGTATTAAAATTATAATGCATACTAATATGTGTTTAATTTAATAATTACAATAATAAGGAAAGATTGAGGTCGGTATGCGTTGAGTCTGTATATGACTTAAATTAGGTTTATTAGAAACTATAAAGAAAAATATTAGTTTAAACGGGAAAAAAAAATCAACAATTAATGAGTATATGATGTATGCAAGTAAACATACAGCTAATCGGGGTATGTATGTTCAATAGACGGCAATGGAAAATACGATCACGTGGGGGTACGTCAAGTAAAGTTGTGATTAGGGATGTTAACACGTTAGTGGGGCGAGTCAGGGCCTGTTTTTCCTTTTCAGTTCAGCTCCAATAAGTTCATTTCAGTTCAGTTCCTAATTTCTTTCTCTCATAACCAATTCATTTCAGTTCACAGCTCAATAGTTCAGTTCAGTTCAATTGTTTTTAGTAAATTGGAACAACCCCTTAGATAGGAGACATACCCCTAGAGCGAAAATAGAGATGAAAATCATACTCGATATGCATGGGTTGTGAACCGGTAATGCATCTTAAGTTATTCCCGCCTTGCCCTGTAACGAACTACATATATGTAACACCAAAAGCTAAAAATTACCTTATACCCATTTAAATTGAGAAAACAAACTTTAACAACCGAGTTCCATCTTTTGGATTCTCGTAAACTTATCCTACATCAAATTCAATGAAAATTTTGGTTCAATACTTGTTTAACAATTAAATTTTTTATATAACAAAGATAATAAGGTCCTGTTCTTTTGAGCAGGCAGAGCAACTTAAAAGAACAGGGTCTTAATGGACACATACAAGAATTTCAAGATGGGGATTAAGCGGGAGGTTGGGCAAGGAAGGTGGATGTGGATGCATATATATAACTTGTTTGGTGGGAATGATATTAGATTTAAATTTGGTACATGGAGATAGGGATGGAAATATTAGGTGGCTTTGGGATGGGGATAAGAAGATCAGTATCCTCTCTCGCTCCATCCCATCCCTTATTGTGATCATGCTTCATTCAAATTCCTTAACAAGTAGAGATATATGAAGGATTTTGGAATTGTTCTCTTGGTTAAAAGCTTAGGGCCTAGGGTAATGTGACGACAAATTATAATATGCACCATGGTGCATCTAGTTCTATGTGAACCACCGATAAAAATATATTGTCTCTTCTCTTTCCTCCTCTACTTTCCTAATTTCTGATTTCTTTCTCTTTTATTTTCTCTCTCCTCTATTTTTCTCTCTATTTTATCTTTCTCTCTCTTGAATTCATTCATCACCCTTTTAATTAAAATCCTTCATCACCATAGTTGATCATCATAGATTGAATTCCTTCGTTATTATAGATTAAATTCAAATTTTATTTTCTTCAACCTTCGATTTGAAACTTTGTTAATGGATGGAGTTTTTACAATGAAGTAGTGAAACTAAAAATGGCGTTGTCGTCGAGGAGAAGGTGGTTAAGACGACGGAGATGATTATTTTCCGATGAGATTTCATTATCTAAATCACCATGGCTAGGTTTGAGTTTTGGAATATGTAGCTTTCATATTCTTTTGATTTTTTAGTGATAATTGTGTATTTTGTTATGAACAGTTCTGTATTTGATTATATTTTAGTTATTTTGAACAATTTAATTTAAAAATATGAACGTATGATACGTTTCCTATAAATACATATTTTTACCGACATGTATTTTTGAACATCTTTATAATAATTTTGAACATGAGATACATTACTTATGAACTTTTTTTTTATTTTAGATCTATATATTTTTAATTTTATTAAAATTTTTGACATTCTCTACTTTATAATTTATATATCCGAACATTTGGCATTTTGAGTAGTGTCTTCAAGTGCAGAAGTTTTTGAAGGGTGTTCAATGGTTTGTGGTTGGGGTTCAGAAATTTTTGTAGGGGGTTCATAGGTTTTTGTAGGGTGCTCAGTGGTTTGCGGTTGGGGTTCAGAAGTTTTTGTAGGGGGTTCAGAGGTATTTAAAGGGTGTTCAGTGGTCTGTGGTTGGGATTCAGAAGTTTTTAAAGGGTTTTCACTGGTTTGTGGTTAGGGTTCAGAAGTTTTTGTCGGGGGTTCAGTGGTTTGTAATTAGGGTTTAGAAGTGTTTGTACAGGGTTCGTTTTAAACTCTCGGTAAGCGAGTAGTAGACTAGTTGTATGAGATTTTTTTAGGGTGCATGTTCAATGGTTTTTGGTTGGGGTTCAGAAGTTTTTGTAGGGGGTTCAGAGGTTTTTATAGGGTGTCCAATGGTTTGTGGTCGGGGTTCAGATGTTTTTGTTGGGGTTAAGAGGTTTTTGTAGGGTGTTTAGAGGTTTTTGTAGGGTGTTCAGTGGTTTGTGGTTGGGTTCAAAAGTTTTTGTCAGGGGTTCAGAGATTTTTGTAGGATGTTCAGTGGTTTGTAGTTGATGTTCAAAAGTTTTTGTAGGGGGGTTAGAGGTTTTCGTAAGGTGTTCAGTGGTCTGTGGTCGGGGTTCAGAAGTTTTTAACAATTGGTTTTTTCTTATATACATCATCTAATTTCTTCTTTTTTTGGGTGTTCTGATGTTGAACATTTGACAATTGTACTGTTCAAAAAAATTTAGGGTTCAATTTAATATTCAATTCTAAAAATTAAGAATTTAAGATCGATTTGCGAATTTAAACAATAAATTACTTATACATCTTCAGTAGGAGTAGATAATTTCGATTTTCTACAAAAAAAAAAAAATCAAAAAGACAATTATATAGTAGAACATAGTTTCAATTTTATAATTTGTTGAATTATATTAGCAAATTTAACACAAATGTAGGAAAATCAAAGAAGTTTAAGTGATATTCATTTTTTTTACGGTATTTGCTTGTGATTTTTGTCTTTTGTCATGGTAAATTGCAGTTTTTAGAGAGTGAAAAATGGTGATAGGGGAGAGAAAATACAAAAAATTAATTAGAAAGGTTTTTTTTATGTATGAGAGGAGAGAGAAAATTTTTAAAATGAAATAAAAAATAGATATGACAGTTGGAGAGAGGAGAAGCTTTTATTTAATAATAAAAAAAACTAAAATCCAAGGGCTTCTATTGTCTGGACTTCCTTTTTTGGGCACAAATTGGGCCAGGTGTACCTAATTCTAGGTGCACTATGGTGCACATAATACTAATTGTAATGTGACTACCCCGTGGGCCATGGCTATGACTAATTGTTGTGGTGTTCTTGATTCTATAAAAATTCCTTCTTCCTCCATGGACCGTTCCCCCTAAATCCTTTCTATTGCTGGGTTCGAGCTACCTTCCTCAATCTTCATCTTTTAACTGGCATTCTCCTATTTCATTATTGACTGTTGGGCCTGTCTTCTTAAAGATCATGATCCTGCGGTGGCACATTTTATCATCTAACTAAAGTTGTTTGTCATTAGACTATATTGGTAAAGATTGCGATTATGTTGTATTATTTCTACCCAATACTACGGTCAATCAGACCACAACATGGTCATATGTGTTAAAATGTCACATTACTAATTAACTTTAAGTTGAGTCAGATTTATAATGCTACAAAACAAAAATTTAAAAAAAAATAAAAATAAAATAGAGGATCAATTTATAATGAATATATATAGTTGAATACTTCTCTGCCATGTACAATTTTTTTTATTTATTTATTTTTTTTTTTTTTGTGCTTATTACACGAGATATTAAAAGATTAAGATTTTTTTTTTTTTTTTTAAAAAAAAGCATGAACTTTGTTGATTTATCATGCATCAACGTTGAACATGGCATGTCCGACTCCGACAAACTAGACTTTATCTGTGGAAGTAAATTGATTTCTTTTTTCTTGTCTATGTATGCTATGCGCGGTTCATTGGTTTAAAAGTATACAAGTTGTATTCGATGCTACGGAGTAAGTAAGATGGCCCCAACACAAATAACTCATCTTGATGTATGATGCTCCTTCATTCCCTGTATTAGTAGCTCCCTCGAGTCCTTCGACTTATTAATTATAGTATACAAGGAAACACTTCTTCGTTTTTAACACATGCTATGTTGAGTCCCTTAGGTTTTGATTGATAGTTTTGAATGATGACAAACAGCTAAGGGAAACAGGTCCTTGAAAGTGTTCGATACAGTTAGGGGAACCAGCTAACATAGAACACTGTTTCCCCAGACAAGTTATTACTTACATGAGTTTTCTTATTGAACTAACTTGTCTTTATACAGGGAACAGTTATATGATAAAAGTGTTATGTACTGGTAGGGAACCAGTATGTACTGTTTCCATGGTTGCTACGTGGTAAAGCAGTCACATACTCTTTATTGTGCATTAACCATGTTACATGTGCAGTAGTTGAGTTGATTCCAAGACTTGGAGCATAGAAGCCTTTCGAAGATATTTCGAAGAAAGATTGTTTGCTCATAATAGAAGTATTCAAGGAAGATTCAAGTCTTGAAGATTACATGAAGAAAAGACGATTTATGCTTTAATATGTTATCTAGGTTTTCATGTAATATGCTCCGTAGTATGCTTGCATGTTTGGGTTATATAAGTGCTTAAAAATATATTGAAGTATGATATGAAATCTGGTACAAAGTTGGAACAGGTTTCATAACATGTTTCAATTCAGGGAACCAGGTCGGGGAACCAGGTTCACTGTATTCGAGCTGCCGTTTTGGAAAAAGATTTTACAAAAAGATTTTTTTTCGAAAAGATTATCTTGAAAATATTTTGTGCAGCTGGAAATAAGATGAAATATTCTTGGTTACCTAAAATCTAGGAGTATTTATCTTAATTGATTCTATCTTTGTGATTAAATCAAATAAGATAAAAACTTTCCTAAAATTACATTATATCTTATTCTCTAAGATTGTGTGATTTAAGGAAACTAGGTTTTAGGAATCTAAGCTTATATAAACTCATCTTATTTCACATATTTCGTGTGCCTCTCCAGAAATTAAAAGAGCAATTATTTGAGAGCATATACTTAAGCACTAATCCCATTCATCAAGTCATATACAAGAGCATTCTAGTACTTAAACTTTTTCTCTTAATTAGCTTCGTAGAAGTGAGATCAAAGGAGAGTTCTTGATTCTTGTATTGAGTCTTTAACAAAGGGGTTAAAGGCTGGGTGAGTGTTTGTGAGTTCAAACACATTGGGCTTACGAGTGTAAGTCGAGAGCACACTCGGAGTAGAGTGTGGGGTTTGCTGGTTCCCGGAGTAGGGAACAGCAGAGTGTTCTTTGTCTTTGTTTTTCGGAGTAGATTAATAAAGAACTTAGGATAGGAGGACGTAGGCCTGAGTTGGCTGAACCTCGTTA